GATGCTGCTTGGCCTGCTGTGTTCATCCAGCTCTACACCTTGTTATCTTGGCTTCACAGTGGTATTTTTAAAACCCAAGACAAAAGATCGCAGATGATCTAGTTGTACTGAATACACTGTGCTTAAAAATGCTTTGAATCAGTTGCAAGAGAGAAGGCTGTCTCAAAGTCTGAAATTGCCACTTAGTTGCAATCTCATGACATCCATTAGTCTTTTGATACTGTACTAAACACTTACGGTTTCCTATCATATACGTATTTGTTGGCCATGAGGAAACCAGATCTTTCTGCAGCCTCCATTCAGAATAGAAGCTTTTCCCCCCCCTTAGCCTAGGGATAGTGTGTCCAATGGTAATGTTGATCTGAATTGTCTTTTCCAGCATTTTTCAATTTAATGAAGGAGAAACATGAGCATTTCAAAAACTGAAGTTTTTTTTTAAACTCTGCTTCACTACATTTTAATTTTATTATTCCATTTATCTTTCATGTTTAAAATTACTTCCTTTTGGAATATTTTGTAGTAATTGTTGTTTTATATGCAGTTGCACTCGCTTATGGGATATATAAACAAGATCTGCCCGCCCCAGAGGAGAAGCCAAGGAATGTTGTCTTTATTGATTTGGGACACTCGGCATATCAGGTTTCAGCCTGTGCATTCAATAAGGGAAAACTAAAGGTAAAGGCCAGAAAATTTTTAATGCACGTCAGTCTCGTTTGATGTTTTGCCGAACCAGTATTGCAAAATCTAATGCTTGCTAATAAAGAAACTGCTTCACTTCGATCTTAATTCTGCAGCATGGAGCCTTGGTTGTTTCTTAGTGTAAAGGTATGAAGTATGTCACTCAGCATCTCTAGAGTGACAGGTTGTGACTTTTGAGTTAATGTTCTTTGTTAGAACAGATGAAGGTACATGCGCAAACCATAATTTGTTTCTTTTTGTGCCATCTTTCTCTTTACCATTTTAACAGTAAGTTTATGTTGTCCTAGGTCCTCGCTACTGCTTTTGATCCCTATTTGGGTGGAAGGAACTTTGATGAGATTCTAGTAAATCATTTCTGTGAAGAATTCCGTAGAAAGTACAAACTAGATGTTAAATCAAAGATTCGAGCCGTAATGCGGCTTTTCCAGGAATGTGAGAAGCTGAAGAAACTGATGAGTGCCAATGCATCTGACATACCAATGAACATTGAATGTTTCATGAATGACATTGATGTTTCTGGCTCATTGAACAGGTACAAAATAAAACCACCTCAGGATCCTAGTCCTTTAGAAGGTATTTAAAAATAAATACAGTATGATACTTATGATCAGCCTTAGCTGCTTGCAAGAGAAAAGTAAGTATAGAATAAGATGCATCTAGATTTCACAAGTCATACAGCATAGTAACAAATCTTTGGTCCAATTCGTCCATACCTACCAGATATCCCAAACTGAACAAGTTCCATTTGCCTGTGTTTGGCCCATGCCCCTCTAAACCTTTCCTATTCATGTACCTGTCAATGTCTTTTAAATGTTGTAATTGACCTACCACTACCACTTCTAGCAGCTCATTCTGTTTGTGCACCACCCTTTGTGAAAAAGAGTTGGTGAATGATCTAATATTTTTCATTGCCTTTAATGCATTATCTCACTAAACTAGTTTTTCTAAAAAATCTAATTTGATAACACCCAAATGGAAAATTAAAAATATACTTGTCTTCAACCATTTGGTTTACATCTGTACAATACAGCCATTGTAAAGTAAAGGATGTTAATGTGGTTTGTGTTGAGCCTAAGCTAGGCATATGAAATGCCTAAGCTATGCATATGAAATGGACCCAGGGGCAGCATGGATATTCTTATTTGGATATATTTTGTATGCCAAAGTATGTGGCTTCCCCCCTGTTTAAATGTGTTTTGGGCTTTTTCTATGTATTTTGTTTATTGAAGCCTGATGAAAATTTCTAACCTAGCCTAGATCTACACCAAAGGCAAAATGCAACTATTTATTTGGCCTATACTACCCTGCCTAGCACACAACCCAAAGTGTTTTATCATTTTGAGAGTAAAGCAACATTCCTGGTATCTGTGACAGGAAGGTTATATTTCAAATCAAAGACGCTGTCATCTTTTGAGATGTGGCTAAACAGTTTAAAATTTACTGCATGCTGAATCAGTCTCTCCTGACTTGCTTTCTCAATGCTGTAGAAGTACATATAACTCTCTGGTTCATAAGTCATTTTCAAAGGTCATTTGTCACTGCTGTTAAGAACATCCTGTGTCTCCCACACCTCTGCCCTCACATCGCCACCCCTCAACAAAAACAAAAATAAAGACAGAATCCCCCTTGTCCTCACATCACCGCACCAACCTCCGCATCCAACATATTGTTCTCTGCCGTTTCCACCACCTACAATCTAACCCCCACAAGCAAAGATCTATTTCCCTCGCCACCCCTACCTGCCTTTCGTAGGGACCGCTCTCTCCACGACTCCCTCATCCGTTCCACACACCTCTAACACTACCACCCCCGGCACCTTTCCCTGCAACTGCAGGAAGTGCTACACCTCTTCTCCACCCTACCCCCCTTCCTCCTCCTCCTCCTCCCCTCCCCCGCCCCCAACATCCATTCAAGGCAGAAAACAAACCTTTTGACATTAGACCTGCACGTCCATCAACTTGGTCTACTGCACCCGATGTGGCCTCCTCTACATCGCTGAGACCATTTTTTTGTCAAAAAATCTGCGCTCTATATGTGACAAACGACAACACACTGCGGTTGCAAAACCTTTTTGACTTCCCTGTCCCACTTGCTGAGTGACATATCCATCCTGGGCTGCCTCCAGTGTCACAATGACGCCACCCACAAACTGGAGGAGCAGCACCCCATATTCCGCCTCGGGAGCCTACAGCCTGATGGCCTGAACGTAGATCTTACTAGTTTCAAAATCTCCCCTCATCCCTGCCTCCTTGACCTGATGCAATCTGTCCATCTTCTCTCCCACCTATTCACCCCTCCCACCTCACTGACCACTCCCGACCACTGTCTACATGCACTCACCTATCACGATCCCACCTACCTTCCCTAGCCCTGCCCCCGCCCCACCCCTCTTTGTTTCTGAGCTCCCCTCCCCCACCCCATTTCTGAAGAAGGGTCCCGACCCGAAACATCAACTTGCCTGTTCCTCTGATGCTGCGTGGCCTGCTGTGTTCCTCCAGCTCCACGCTTTAAGAACATTTGCAAGGTTTTCTGATAAAAGTGCTTGTAACATTGTTTAACCAGATGCTAGAAATGGAGTTAGCCTATGTTAGTCGCTGGTAGTCCACCAGTTTGTGAACAGGGGCTGTGTGCACTGAGTTGGTGCTTGCAGAAGATCCTGGCACATTTGTTTTCAATGTTGTCAGCTGTTTAAAGCTCAAAATAGCAACTGAACCAAAGCTTTCTGAGCAACTGCCCCATTTTCCTTTGCTGCCCAAAAGGTATCACTTCAAAATGTCATGCTTTCGGCGCAGTCTGACCCCCCTCACTTGAGTCTCTGGACTGCTAGAACTCTTTGGCTTGGAGGCTGAACCACCACCTGCTGGAGGACAAAACCTCCATTGAGTTTTAAGTGGAACCAGTGACCTAACATCCCAAATTTTATGAAATAATACCTGTGGAGTTATGATGCCATATAATGCATGGAGTTATGAAGTACTTAAGGGTTTTCTTGAGTATTGAGAAAAGCTTTCTCAATGCGCAAAACAGGTTTTTTAAGTATGTGAAGTATATTTAAGGATTGTCCACACTTGCTGCTAGCAAGTTGCTTATTTAATTTTGACTAAACAATGCTGATTTAATGTTTTGTCATTCTTCAAGATGTTGGCATTGTTAAAAAGGCCAGTATGTGTTGTCCATCCTACTTATTCTTGTGATGGTGAGCCTTTTTCAATTGTAGTTGTACATGTGGTGAAGCATTCATAAAGAAGACAAGACTATAAATTTTGAAGCATGTTTTGCATTGAAGATAGGAACACCAATTTCTAACCTGACCAAAGATTGTGCCACTTTGAATAACTGCTTACTGAGATTTTGATCGTGTACTAGTTTAATATTAGTGAATTAATAGTGAGAATAATCTACAAATTTAGTTCATATTTTCAAAAAATTTAAGGGATAGAAATAATTTTTAGGTAATTATATTTTGACTGACTGATTAATTGTTTTACCCCAATCTGGTCAAAACTTAATTTTTTTTCTATGTTGTGCTGTTCAAGGGCCCAGTTTGAGGAAATGTGCAGCTCACTTTTGTCCAGAGTGGAGGGTCCTCTTCGCAGTATTATGGAGCAAACCAGTGAGTAATCAAATCATAATTTGGTTTGCCTGTGGATTTTTACACTTGTATTTCACGTCTTTGATTTTCATAAAATTTCAGTAATTGCAGTTTAGAAAGAGACAATCCAGCTCATACAGCAGTTAAATCATTGGATGCAGGAAATCTGCAATAAAACAAAATTCTGAAAATGCTCAGGAAGCAGACAGTCCAACACATTAGGGAAAAAAGTGAGGCTGAACCATTTATAAGAAGCTTCAGCCAGCACTGCCAAGTAGATGATCCATCTTTTGCCCCCTCCAGAGATCCCCAACATCATGGATGCTAGTCTTCAGCTATTTGATTCACTCCATTTGATATCCAGAAGGATAGCAAGGAAGTATTTGACTGCTGTCACAGAGGAGCCCTGCCAAAGCTCAAGTTAATGGAAAACAGGCAAAAATCCTCCACTGGTTGGAGTTACATTGAGTGTGAGTGAAAGGAGCTGGTTGTGGCTGTTGGAGGCCAGTCATGTGAGCTGGAAATTTTGTTTCTGTAGGAGTTCCTCAGGTTTGCCTAACCATCTTTAGCTGCTTAGGCATGACCTTACCACCTTCATAAACTGAGAAGTGGGGATGTTTGCTGTTTGAGCGATGTTCGTCACAAGAACTCTTCAGACATGGACTGCTTCAGTGTCCAAATGTAGCAAGACCAGAGCAGTATCCACAGTCGTGCTGACCGGGAAGGAACTTTAGCATCACAGAAGTGAAGATCTGAAACAATGAATTTAATCATCGGCACTTGCCTTTTAGTCACATTATCAGGAATGAACTCCCCCATTGACAACATCCTGGGGGGTTACCGTTGCCAAGAAACTGAACTGGACAAGCCTTACTTACACTGGCTGTAATAGTAGGTTAGAGGCTTGGCATCTTTATGAAGCCTCAGCGCCTGTCCACTATCTATAAGGCATAAGTGAAGAGTGTGATAGAATAGTCCCCGCTTGCCTGAATAAATTCAGTTCCAACAGCGCTGAAGAAGCTTGACACCATCCAGGACAAAGCAGTCTACTTAAATGACACAACACGCAAAAAAAGCCACACTCTGTACCACTGGTACTCGGGAGGAGTATATGCCATCTACATGATGCACAATGGCCATTCACCAAGGCTTTTTGGACAGCATCTTCCAAAGTTATGACCACTGCCGTCTAGAATGACCAAAGTGTAGATACATGGGAGCACTGCTAGCTGCAAGTGTCCCTCCAAATCACTCACTATCCTGACTTTCAAATATATTGAAAGAGCTGCAATGTTGCTGCATCAAACACCCGGAATTTTCTCCCTGTCAGCACTGTGGGTGTACCTATGCCAAACGGATGGCTCGCCGCTACCACCACCACAAGTGCAGATATGGTTGTACAATAAATGCTGGCCCAGACACTGATTCTCATATCCCATGAATGAATAATGTTTTGTCTGATGGGGAAATCAATTTCTTTTTTTTTTTCTTGAAAAGAAAAGGACAGTCTTCAAATTTAAATTAGGCTACCTGGCAAAAAAACATGGAAAGATTTTTCACGCTATAATAGATGTCTGAACCATTCTCCCTAAAGGCTGTGGTGCTAGGACAATTGGAATTATTAGGACTGCAGTAACTAAATTTCTGTTGGACAGGGATATGAAGCAAAGCAGTGCTCATAACGCAAAGAAGAATCAATCATGGTCAACCAGTCAGAGAAAGCTTGACTTGTATGGAAACCAAGATGGTATCTTTGAAGAGCTGCTCCTTCAATCAGGGGTTCTGTGCCTACTACTCCTCCTCCAATCAGAGTGAACCTCTTAGCAGCAAATGCAGGAGAGAACCACACTGAACCAAAAGTGAATAAACAGAGTTGCAATGCAAATCAACTAGGATTTACTTGAATTAGAGAGCTGGCTTGAGGAGTTGTGGCCTTTCTCTGCCCAACATTTCTGATTTCTTTATGCCGTATCTGTCTTAACTACTTCTGCTTAAATATTCCATCTTCTGGAAAAAAAAAAGAGTATGTTTCTTAAACTTTTTTAAATAACAGTCTGATAACTCTTCATGTGGTTTCTCAAAGGCTCATTTTACTATAGTAGAATCCTGGATTTGATCCTCTGTCAAAATCTACTGATTTTGTTTTTTTTTCCCTGATGTATTGAAGTGTTAGTACCTCTGGGCAGGTCAAGACACCCACTGGATGCACTTGAATATGAGCATTGATTTGGCAGATAATTGAATGTAGTGCTGCAAGTAGCCTGCTGTACATACTGCCATGAATCTCTTGCAAAGAATGACAACTTTAGCAAAGCATCCGAGGGTTTCTGACAGACATGAAACTAGATTCCAGATGAAAAATAATGCCATGAGAACAAAAAACTGTTTTGACATTTTTTATTTGTGTTTTCATTGGGAAGTAGAGGTCTGTCTTATAAAGAAACTATTTAAAATGGCAACTGCCAAAATAGAATATGTATGCTTCTGAAATGAACCCTTGAGTCTATTCACCAGAAAGGCCAATTTGATAAATACTGTAGGTGAAACGAACCTAAAGTAATGCCAGTGTTCCTCTGGTGGTTCTATCGTTGCGGTACTCTTAATGTCAGGACCCAGTCTTGGAAGTGCGAATCAAGTTTTTGCCTTTCTATTTAGAATGGATTACTTTATAAGCTTAAAAATAGATTATTCCATGCCTAAGTGAATTGATATTTTTAAAGTAGAAAATCCTCTGTCAAAGAACGTTTTATCTTTCTCTATTCCTCACTGCCATTATACCCTAAACGTTGTAAAATAAATGCCTTATTCCTTCGCTATCAAACATTCTTTCTAGAACTTAAGCGAGAGGATATATATGCTGTCGAGATTGTGGGTGGAGCAACTCGCATCCCTTCTGTAAAAGAGAGAATTGCCAAGTTCTTTGGTAAAACGCCGAGTACAACACTAAATGCAGATGAGGCTGTCGCACGTGGATGTGCTTTGCAGGTGAGAAGCTTGATCTATAGCACATGTCTGTGTAAATAGTTTGCTGTTAACACTTGATCAACCTGTCACTGAAAATTTATTTCATTGTATCACAAAAGTTACTGAGTTATCATTAATGTAGACTGAGGTACAAATAACGTCTACCCTGATTGATGTGTAAATTTCTTAAGTGTAGGAAATAAGATGGTAGGAGGTCCACAGGTGAAGCAAAGTACTTGCATAGACCTGTGTCTGGCCTTTTTTTTTTTTTTGCTGTAATATCACTTAATTTTATGTGCAAGGAACTTCAATGCTGATACTAAATTCTTGATTGAGTTATTGAACTGTGACGTGTCGACCATTGATCTGAGATTGAATATCACCAATTAGTTTATTAATATTAAAATGACAGTTGCCACCATCTTGAGTAATATAGGTGGATAGAATTTCTGGTGAAGGTTTGGTTTGTGAGATATTAGTGCACGAATATAAAACCTCTATACAATTTTCAACATGTAAGCAATGTGCTATACTCGTGCAATGGCAAGGTTAAAGCTCATGCCTGTGATTCCTCACTTAATATGTGACTGAATTCTCTCAGCCTGGTGGAATCAGGTGCTTTTCTCACAGGCAGCAAAGGAAAGTCCCCTGCGTTTTTGTTTTTTGCAAATTCTTTACAAACGAATAAGACATTACAAAATTTTTAAGCTGGGCTCCATTCCATTGCCTTTTGAGGAAACAGAATGGGGTGTCTAAAAGCAGTTTTTTAAAGAATATCTTGCCTTAAATGAAGTTGATCATTTAGTTTCTAGCTTTATCATCTGAATGGGACTGGCAATTTAACAATTAAATTGCTTTTGATCTAGATTTTTATTGTGAATTGCATCCCTTTGAGCTTTAAACTGATCAAATATTTTAAAATTGAATTTGGTCTTGGGGAAAACCCAAGAAGCTTTTTTCAAAAAAAAGCCTTTTTTTCAATAGTATTGTAGAAGTGGGATTTCATGGAGGCTTTTGAGCATTTTGAAGTAGAAAAGGTTCCCGCAAAGTGTGAACATTTTCTGAAAGAAATGCCTTCATTTTTTCGTGTATTTTTGTTAGAAGTTTGTTTGCTGATTTTTGATAGTGCTCAAAACTCTTGGAATTTGTCACTTCTTAGGCCAAACTTGAAGCCATCTGCTGTATTCTGCATCCAGTCACCTGGTTTGGTGCAATGCAGCATTCATGTTCCGAGGAGCCATTGATGTATTGATTCAGAATCCAAATGCAATTCTTTACCTTCTGAAATCTGAATTTTTGCCAAGTGCTGCATTCTACTAAATACTTCCAGTTCTGTTCTGTTGTTCCCCAAAACACCAACCACCTTGTCTTTCATTCATCCTGCAAATTATGTTGAAATTTGAACTTGAATGTGGTCAGCTTTTTTTGCCTCCTGAATATTCATCAAAATTGATTTTCACTGTCATATATATTGACAAATGAATTGCTGCGTTGTGTTTAATTCATTTTTGATCGCTAAATCAGTACTTCCAGATAATTTGAGCTGTGGACGTAGTTTAAAAAATTCGTTAAGTACTCTTACAAAGTCAAAAGTTTGAATACAAATCTTAAATTTAGTATAGAGAAAATTTCAGGTGTTGTAAATCTTCTGTTTCTCAGAGCAGTGTCTGTGCAGTTATTTATTCTAATTTTGATTTAAAATCATTAACTTAGCTAATTCTGAATTTAACCTGATTTAAAATGGTTTGTGATGAAAAGAAAATGTTCTCTCTCCAATTTACCTTTTTATTTTAGTAATTCATTTTAATATGTATTAATCAAGCTGCACCACGTTACCGTTAAGTATTTTGAGGAATATTTTAAAGCATTTTTAAAAATATTAGATTGTGAAGTGCTCCCTGGCTCATCTGGTTTGTGGCAGATTTTTTAGCCTGTAATATGTCAGAATTTGAGCAAAAACAGGAGAGGAAAAAGCATTTCTCAAAACTAGTGCAACTTGCATGAATAACATTCAGTTGAACCCCATAATCCCAGATGAGCGCCATAGACTTGCTGTATCCAGTACTCTGTCATTTCTGACCTCCCATGAAGCAAATCCAATTGGCTGAAAGCTGGTCCCTGACAATGGAACTTCTCCTTTGTATATCAGATCTGCTGTGTGGATCTTGCCTTTTTTCTTTTTAAAAGGCTTCAATATGTAAATATTTGTAATCAGTGTTAATCAACTGAATAATTGTTGCATCAATCCAGTGTTGAGGAACATCACACAATATTCTTGTTCAAGAACTGATATCAATCCTGTGTCAGCAGTGCGGTGAAGTGAAAAAGTAGTACTGCTGCCTTAGTGCCAGCGAAGACATTAATTCTGTTTTCAACTTGAGAAAATAGCTGGACCTACCTGTACAGTCCAGAAAAGGAGTTTTCTATTTACTAGGCTGTACCCAAGTTCCTGGGAAGACCTAGGATCCAGATACAACTTGATGGGTTACCACTAATGTTTTGTCAATGTAGTTTTTGTTTGACCAAAACTTATGTATGCACATAGTTTTAATCTCTTTAATTTTTCCAAAAGTGAACAAATGTTTTTAGAGCTTTTTGAAAACTACCAAAATTCTATTCAGAAGCACAAACTGACGGGAAGAAAAAAGGTGGACAGGACATTAACGTACTTGCAGATATTAGTTATATTTCGGCTGCCTTTATGCACAGTAAAGAGATCCGTGTAGATTACCCCAACACTGGTGGGGTAATCTACTACACCTGTATGTAGCAATTTTTCCAAGTTCATTTTATTCTTTTTCATAATATGGGCATTGTTGGATAGGCCAACATTTGTTGCATATTTCTAATTGCTCTTGAGAAGGTGATGATGAGTTGTTGTCTTGAATCCATGCAGTCCTATGTGCGGATATAGCCACTGTTCAGAAGGGAGCTCTGGGAATTTTATTCAGCAACAGTGAAGGAATCGATATTATACAGCCAAGACAAGATGGTATGCAGCTTGAAGGGGAACATACAGGTAGTGGTTTTCCTGTGTCTGTTGCCCTCTTCCTCCTCGGTGGTAGAAGTTGTGTTTGGAGGATACTGTTGAAGAGTTCTTATTGAGTTGCAGGAGTTCAGCTTGTAGATGTTATGCACAGCAAGCAAAATTTGACAAAACTGCCTCTGTCTTTGTATTTCAAGGTCCTTTTCTGTTTTTGCCTTCTAGTGTGCTATTCTTTCACCTGCATTCAAAGTAAGGGAATTTTCTATCACAGACTTGGTTCCATTCCCAATTTCCATGAGATGGAATTCTCCTGCTGATGAAGGACTTGGGTGAGCATTTGCTTTCCATCTTTTGAATTGTTTTTCATTTTGTCTCTTACATGTCTGAAGTTGGGAATCTGTTCACCTTCCCATTTGCAACTTTCACACATTGCACCTTTTCTCGAAAAGATAGCCAGCAATAATCACATATTGTTTAACTGGTATACGCTGGTCGTGATGACATGGCAAAATACTAATATGGCCATGGTTCTCAGAATCTATTAACAACCTTTACAGGGATTCCTTCAATAATTACAGAACTGACTTGCCTCTGGCTCCTGAGATGGAATACCTGATCCCTGCTTTTATAATTTGTAGGTGATGTTACCGGAGGGTTTGTATCAATCTTAGAACCACATTTTAAGACTAAAGTGCTAGGGGACAAAAGTGAAGACAAATCTACTCTAAAACCTTAAAAAGTGAAGAAAATTGGGTGACGACCTTCTCTTGTAATCTGTTGTATATAGGACAAAGACTTATGATCTATGCGTTTTACTTGAAATGTGTTTCTGATTTTGAAGAAGTCCTGAATTTCTGCGCAAGTGCAATTTGTTCCTGCTGTCCTGCCAAATTACTAGCTATTCAAAAATAATCTCAGGAAAAGATGACTCAGTGGCCTCTCTCTGCTGTCAGCACATTTTCAGGTGCTCGACATTGATCCTTTTTCAGCACAGGAACAAGTACAGGAGTTAATGCCACCAAAGTTGTTGTGACCACCATCTATTCACCTGTCTCTTCCTCTTTCCCTTCCCTCTCTTGCAGAATTCCCCTCCCCCCCCCCCCCCCCCCCCCCCCCCATTACTCTCTTCACCCTCCCACAAGATCCTGCCCGATCTTAGTTTTCCTAGATTTATTAGTCAAATTTCTGACATCATGGACTTTTTATTTTTATGTTCACAAAAGATTTTGCTTTTTGCAGTTCAGAACCTAGATCTGTATCTCATTTCTATCCAGCTATTCCTCATCGGGTTTATCTTGTGAATAGTAGATGTTCTTCCCATAAATCTGCTCATCCAAACTCTTATAGGTTTTATTTTCTTCCAAGCTAAGCTTCCAGCCCTGCATTCTTTCCATTGCAAAGTTCGTCTACATCTGTCACTACTGTTACGTCTGCAGCCTGTCTGCCAGTCACAAAGACCTGAGTTATGTCACAAAAGTATTCCAGTGCTCTGCTGGCTGTTCCCTTTTATCTCGTGCAAATCACTGCAGCTTATGGCCTGTTGTACTCACCCATCACCCTTGTGCTCGTTAACTGACATTAAATCATGGCTTCCCCTCAAGCTTACAATCTAAAAATTACCAATTTTCTCTTTGTGACCTCTTTGTCCACTTACCCTGCCTCTATCTTTCTCCAGACATTTGAAACTCTGCATCCATATTTGGCCTTTTCTGCACGCTTGTGGCCTTTGTCCTATCATTGATTTTGTGCCTTCAATCATGTTAAGCTGTAGGCTCTGAAATTCCCTGTCCGTATATTTCTACCACTCCTCAGCTTGCCACCCCTGCTAAGATTCAGTTTTTGGTTTAGTATCAATTTGGTTTTTGTCTGATTGTACCTCCAGAGCATCATTTGAATGCTTTTCAACTTTAAAGGCTCTATGTAAATACAGGCTATCATTTGACCAAATTTTCCTCACATTTCCTTGCGTAAATTTAACCTGAAGAGTGGAAAAAATATTTTCTCAATCTAGAGTACATTATTGTGGATATAATTTACTGTTGGACTATGTAATGAAATATTAATATCTTCATGCATGTAACTTCCTTCAGACTGATGGTTTGTGTGGGCAGTTAGTGTATTTAGTTTCCATTATACTGAAGTTAAGTCAAAAATATTCTATAATTTTCTTTTTAGTGATTGTGAGGTGTTTCCCAAGAATCATGCAGCACCATTCTCCAAAGTTCTCACTTTCTATAGAAAAGAATCCTTCAACCTTGAAGCAATCTACAGTTGTCCTAAGGAATTGCCTTATCCTGACCCCAAAATTGGTGAGATATAGTAAATGCTTATGTTCTTTCTAATTGCACTTTTTAGTGAGGAGCATGTAAACATTGCTAAAAAGAGACTTGGTGAAAACTTTGTCTTGCACTCATTCCTACAGCTCTGCTCCAAAATCAACTTATTGGAATGTCATGAATAGAGCCTTAGCAATGTTTGTGTAAATGTTGATGCTGAGATTGGGCTATCCTGCACGATCAAGTTTTCACTCATGTCATGCAAACTCATGAAAGGGCCTATGGCCATCATTTTTGTCCCTGAAAGGTATCAGTCTATCTCTGATTAATCCTGAAAGGAAAGCTGTCTCAAATTTTAACAAGTTAGGCTTAGATGGCTTATGCTGTTACTTCAGTGAACACATGAATGTCATACTCTACGAGCAGAATGTTGCTGTCATACCAAAAAGATGTTTTATCTGCCGCATGAATGTGTGATCTAGTGTACGCATTTCAATACTAGTGGTGATGCCAGGTGAGTAGGCTGCATATCTGAACAACAATGCGTCCTTTTTGACTGTTTGCAGCAAAATGGCATGACTGCCAAGATGAATCAATCTTTGCTTGCAAAACTCAGAATATAATATCCATCATGAGATGTAATTCTGCTATTGGTCAACTTATACTAAATAATCCAAAGTACACTAAGAATTATGCCAGAAACCAGTTTAACATAAACAGTTGGACTTGTAGTACACCTCATTTGTATGTGCTAGAAGTCACATATTCAAACATGGAACCTTGTTCTTGCCTGTAGGGGATGGATTTTGTCCACAGGTTGCTCTTCTCTCATAGTGTGTTATGGAGACTGACTGACTGACTGTAATTCCCTATACCACTCCATAACCAGTTCGAGTTGTTGTGCCTCATTCGAGGTTAATTCGATAACCAAGACAGTTAACAGATATAGCTGCATCTCCATTCCAGACATTGTTCAGCAATTTGTATCCTTTTCTCATGGTGTTTCAGTTCAAAGCTTGGATTCTTGTGTTCCAGTCCAATGAGTGCAAAACTAAAAGCTTTGACTTGTATCTTTTTTTAATAAAAGAATTGTTTTAAGTTCTGTACTACCAAGCAATTAAGATGAAAGTATAAGCAGTTTAAATAGATTGCATTAGGAGATGTTAGAACTTTGTATAAAGCATAGTTTCTGGGGACAGGTGTAGACTCAGTAAAGAGAATCTATGAAGAACTCCTCAGGGTGATGTTTTTACCACCTCCCCACATGACTCCCACACTTCTAATGGGATTGGTTTGAGAACCCCCTCTGTTTTGTATTTCAGTATTATCCACCATTTCCCTGTGGAAAGATTCAAGTGTGTGCTGTTAATTATGGAGTTAAATCTAACGTGAGTGAAGGGCTGAAATGCATTTTAAAGCCAAATGCAGTTTGTAGAGTGTGAAGCTGAAGAGCAGCCTATTGGAAATAGCAATAGTTAGATATCTTGGGGAGCAGTTGCAGGCTGGTGTGGGAAGGGATTTAAAGAAAACCTGGAGAATAATATAATAGGCTGAATTGGTAGCTCTGCAGGCCACCGTCATGGCAGGGAAGGAATTGAGCTGTACCTACCACAACACTTATTTGGGGAGGGTGGGAGTGAAGAGACTCTTGTTCAAAATAGACTGGTCACCTACCTGAGGCAGGTTCAGCTCAGGTCAGTATATTTGTGGAACCACACTGGCTCAGTAAACCTTGGACTGGTTCAGTGATGAATGCTGATCAAAATGAACTGTTAATTTGGGTGAGTGACTAGGGATAGTTATGCATTTCTACTTGTAAAACTATTGGATGCACATTATATTTTGGGTGTGCTTTACAATAATAGTTGTTGTAAGTTAATTTACTGCTTATTCATGTTTTCATGAATATTAGTTACTTCATTTCTGGATGTACATGTGAAGACACCTTTCTTTTCTATTATTCATTCATGGGATGTAGGTGTTGCTGGCTAGGCCACCATTTATTATCCTAATTACCCAGAGGGCGGTCATGAGGCCAAACCAGGTAAGGACGGCAGTTTCCTTCCCTAAAGGACATTGTGAACCAGAGGTGTTTTTCCAACAATCAATAGCTGTTTCTTGGTCATTGTTAGACTTTTAATTTCAGATTCATTCCTGCAACCTTCATCCGTTGTGACAGTTGTGATATCTTCTGCCTGGATCACCGTTCAGGACTGGCTGCCTTGACCTGACCTAGGCTTTTAACTCAGTCAGTCAGTAAGTACTAAGGAAGCTCCTGTCAAAGGCCAGCTAACCAGTGAAAATCATCATTGAACAAGATGTCAGCAACGTTCCTTACTGATGGTAATATGACAGAACCCTTTGCAGTAGAGACACGGTTCAAACAGGAGTGTGTCATCACCTCCACCTTTTTCTCTATCTTTGCATCAAATCTGCGAGTACCATCTTCGAACACCCAAGGATGAGCAACTTTGACATCTCTGCTGATGCCAAAATTCTCGTGTATAAGGCAATCAAATTTCTGACTCTTCTATATACCTCAAACTTTCTCCACATATCGAAGCCTCCTCAAGACCCCATTTGAAATGGAGTCTCCATATCAGCTGGGAAGCAGGCATAATAACATGAGCATTCTTAAGTAGCTAACTGCACTAAACAAAGACTGTGATCATCCAAAACCATCTCCGCTGGACCAGGCACATGCTTAAATGGTTGAGTTCCAACTTCCAAAACAAATCGTGTTCACCCAACTCAAGGAAGGCATTCAAACAAGGGAATAAAAGAAATGTTTCGAAGACTCCCTCAAGAGATGCAACATGGATGCCAACGTATGGGTGGCCCTCGTTTAGAAGAAACCAACTTGGAGGAAACTCCTATATGAAGAGACATGATTCTTGGGACACCTGGCAACAAGACCAAGTGTGAAAATGAAACCGAAAAAGTTTTGCCAACAATCTCGAGGCCAAGGACCAATTCCACCTCCTAAAACCACCTGCCAAATGTGTGGTCAGCAATGCAGCCAAATCATTTATGTGCAAACAAAAGGGTTCCCAACACTAATCCCTGCGGAACACCACTGGTCACAGATCTTCAGCCAGAAAAACACCCTTTTCAAGTGTGAGTAAATCCTATCCCTAAAAGTCTTTTCTCCAGTAGTTTCCCAACCACTGACATAAGGCTCACTGGCCTGTAATTTCCAGGTTGTCCCTGGTGCTGCTCTTGCGTAGAGGAACACGTTGGCTATTCGTCAGTTCTCTGGGACCTTTCCAGTGACTAAAGAGGATACAAAGATTTTGTACAAGGCCCCAGCAACTTCCTCACCTGCCTCCCTCAGCATTCTGGGATTGATCCCATCAGGTCCCAGCGACTTGTTTATCTCTTTTTCAGAACACCTAACACCACCACCACCACTTTTTAAATTGATGTGACCTAGAATATCAACATTCTTGTCAAGACTTGACATCCACCATGTCCTCTTTTGTGAACACTGATGCAAAGTGTTCGTTAAGGACCTCATCCAGTTCCTCTAACTTCTTGTATAAATTCCGTCCTTTGAAGGTACACAAGATTGAGGTTGGCATATGGTGGAATTTTCTTAAGAGAAATTGATTAGATTGGGCCTGTACTAATTGGAGTTTAGAAGAATGAGGGGCAACCTTATTGAAAGCTATAAGATTCTTGAGGGACTTCAGTGTAGGTACAGTGAAGTTCTTTCCCCTTTTTGAGAGACTCTAGGATTAAAGGGCATAATCTCCAAGCAAGATGTAACCTATTTAAGATAGAGATGAGGAGGAATTGCACTTGTGGAATGTTTTACTGCAGAAGGTCGTCAAGGCTGTGTCATTGAGTATATTCGAGTTGAGAGAAACAGATTTTTAATCATTAAGGGAATCGGAGGTTATGAACAAAAGGCAGGATGGGGGAGTTGTTTATTAGTGCAGCCCTAATCTCATTGAAAGGCAGAGCAAAGTCAATGGCCTGAAAGTCCTACTTCACCTCCTACATCTTATGGCTGTATAGAAGGAAATCTGATGTCCTGACCAGGTCTGTCCTATTATGTGATTTAAAATTCGGCAAAAATGTGGTTGACTCTTAATTGAAGTAACCTGAAGTAAATGACTGTTTTCAAGTAGCATAGCGAAAAGCCTATTCAAAGGAAAGTCATCATTAGAACCATTTTGAGGATATTAAAGGATGAACAGTAAATGCTAATCTGACCTGTGACATCCAATTGTGTAGTGAAGTTTTAAGTTCACTTTGTATAGCAAGGGATCTCATCGTTACCCCATCCCTAGTTATGACTTTCTACATCTAGACATTGAATAGCAGAAGTGAATACCTGATTGAGGGATTTGAGTGCTTTCAGTAGAGACGAGTGATTCTAACTAGACAGACTAGCCAAGGCAGACCTGAAGTTTGTTTCCTTTCACAATACCGGTAACTCTTTGCATATAGCATTTATTTTAAAAGGAGCATTTTGATGTGCCAGTTTTTAATAATGTTCATTTTTTTTTTTGGTTTAGGTTACTTTACTATTCAGAAAGTGGTTCCTCAAAGTGATGGGTCCAGTTCTAAGGTGAAAGTCAAAGTGCGGGTTAACATTCATGGTATCTTCAGCATATCCAGTGCCTCGTTGGTGGAAGTGCAGAAATGCGAAGAGACTGATGATATTCCTATGGAAACAGATCAACAATCCCAGGCTAATCTGAAAGAAGAGGAGGTAAACTTGCATTGGTTTGATAAACAATATTTGTTTGGTGTTCTTGAATTATGGACTGTGTAGTTGGACAGCTGGAATTATTCATCATAAGTATTGCCTCATTGGTAACATTGAAAGTACCAATCAGCAATAGTGTTAAGTCACAAGTTTGTTAGCTTAAATTAAATTCTAACTTATTTATCACACCTTCTGTTGAATTCCCACATCTGTGTCTCCCGCATTGTGGCGGGAAGATCCATGGTTGCAAAGAATAGATTAATCAACTTCTTGGTTTATGTCCATTGGTCCATAATTGTTTAATTCTTTGATTTCCCTTCCTCCCCTAGAAAAATGTGCCTGATCTCTGCTTGTTATAGCACACAAGTTTGCATAATTCTATCTGGATTAATATGGATACACTGCACTAAAAGAGGACTGGTTTTCACCTAGTCATGTGCTAACTATTGAGACTTTTACTCATCCTTTATGCGGTGAAGTTATAATAATAGCCATAAAAAAAATTCTGGATTTCTGCACCTTGTGAATATGTAATTTCTGCTTTCACAGAAGAGCTGAGGGATGGTTGACCATGACCAGGGAAGAAAAATCAAAATGACACCTGTGTTGATCATAGTTCTGAATTGTTTTCAGCTATGAAGAATTGTAGTATGTTGCTCATGTATATGGATTGGTGTTTTGATCCCATTGCTCCTTAGCCCCCTACAATTTATTTTATTAAAAGACTCATTTATTCGTCAATATCACGGTGTTTATGAATTGATGGGTTGTGGAGCTGCAAATTTTTGTTCTTTTCAGAGCAAGATGCAAATTGACCAGCAGGAAGAACCAGCTCATGGTGATGGTAATCTCCCACCAGGATCAGCAGAGGGTCAGAAAAATGAAATTGATGAAATGGAGGTAATTTTTTTTGATTTAGCTTTTCTGTGATTTTTTTTTTTTCCATTTTGCTGTCCTTTTAAGGATTATCCCCAGTAATTTTATTGAAGGCTCAGTGGACTCTTCACATCATTCATTAAGATGAGAAACCTCTTCTTGAATTTTCTTGAAAATTGCAATGTAAGAAACTACTTATAACAAGCGAATGGCCATTTCTACCACATTGAACGTGATGGTGAGCCGCCTTGAACCAGTATAGTCTGTGATGTAAGTAATTCCACAGCACTTTTGGGTAGGGAGAAGACAGATATTTTCTAAATCAAGAAGTGTCATTTAGGGAGCTTGCGGATGAAATTCTCATGCACCACCTGCCAAAGTAGCCTTGAGTTACTGCAGTGCATCTTGTTATAGATCGTGCACAATGCAGCCATGGAATACTAATGCTGGTGGAATGGAGAGAAAAAAAATGCTAATCTAGTGGGCTGCTTTATCCTGGATAGTGTTGAACTATGATTGATGTAGCTGCCAAGTGAGACTATTTCAGTGTTTTCCTGAATTGTGATTTGAAAGTGATAGATCATAGGGATATTTGTGGAGCCTCCTTATCTTGTTTGTGGATGGCAGTAGATAGTTGAACATTGATCACTGATTGCTTAACTCGATAGTGTGCTATGTCTGCTATTTGATGTGCCTTTAGTCTTAACTTTAGCTGTATGCGGTTGGCTTCTCACTTTTAGATATGCCTAATGTTGCTCCCCTACACTACTCAGTATGCAAAGTTCATCCAATGGCTCAATGATAAGAGTGAGTAATATGCCTGACCATAAGGTTGCAAACTGTGATGAACTGTGACAGCAATACTGCTGTCTGTAGTCACAGAGCCTTATGGATGACCAGTTCTGCACTGCTGAATCTTTTTGAATTGATCCTATTTTGCATGGTGATGGTGCTACACAACTCTGTTCTCAATGTGAAGACAGGCTTTGTCATTACAAGGACTATGCAGTAGTTACTCCAACGAATGGCATTTTGGATGTAATTGTGACCAGTGGGTTGGTGAGAGTGTGATTGAGTAGCTCTTTTCCTTTTTGGTTCTTTCACTTTCTGCTGTAGATCCAGTGTGCTAACAACATCCTTCAGGATTCAGCTAGCTTGGTCAAAACAGTGCTTCTGAGCCACTCTTGGTGATGGAACATTGAAGTATCCCATGCAGAATACATGCTTTGTTCTTTTAACATTTTTTTCATGCTGCTCAACATGGAGTACAGATGCACTTGAAGGAAGGTGATATTCAGCAGGATGTTACCTTGCCCAATTTTTATCAAAATTTCACACCATGCCTCACAGTTTAGGGACAAGTAAACAAGATTTTGGTGAAATAAGTTGGTTCTAAGGAGAAATGACAAATGGAGAAAAAATAAATTTCCTTAGCCTCTAGGCATTATTCCTTCTAAACTGTTCACTACCTGCAGTAAATGAAATGCACTGCACAAGTTATTCACACATTCATTTCCATAACATGTTACCAATGAACAAGACCACCAAGTCCATTTCTCCCTGGTCACCACCTTTCCTCCTGCATCTATCACTTTTCCCCTTCCCTATCCACTATGTTCTCCTCATTGATCAGGATGTAATTACAGTAGGAAACATTAGAAACATTGCAATGAACAGGTCATGCACAGCAAAGGAAATTGAGGCTTTAGACCAAAGGAGATTAGAAATAGGTAGGATAAAGTTAAATACAAAAATAATTACCTTAAAATTTTTTGATATTTGTGCACCATTTCTTCCTGTATATTACCAACTTCTCTCAACAGTGCTTTCCTTCCTTGTCCACCTTCTATAAATCCATATCTTTCTCCTTGTCCACCTTTTTATAGCTTGGGCTGGATGATGAAGTGGTAGACCAAGGTGTCCAATGACACATGCTGTGATTTTCCTGTTTGCTGATCAATTCACTAGTTGTAATGCATGACTCGTTCTCCAATGCATGCAACAGGTCCTGGTCTTAGGAACAGCATGAATTAAACTGAAGTATTGTACCACCTGTTTCTGTAAAACCACCTCTTGACCGCAAGGTTTCAGGCCATGATTAAAATCTGTCAACAGGATGATAAGTTTGCTTATCGGGTGTTTTCTCCTGAACTGCCTATAGATATGTGCAAGAATTCACAGTACAATTCTTGAACAGACTTTGAAAATCCTTCTGAAACAAAGGAAACAAACTTGATAGTCCTGCCCAATTTGCTCTACACATGCAACACTTGGACTATGCACCACCATCCTGCAAAGAAGCTTGACCACTTTCACTTGAGCTGCCTTCTGATGTTTCTGAAGATATTGAAAATCCAATGGTAGAACAAAATAATGGCATTCAAATGCTCACCCATGCATGTTGAAACAGTCATGCCTGAGTTGGAGTTTCATGTTGCCAGAATGCCTAATATTTGCTTACCAAACAAATCTGTGCTAAGCTTGAGTCTGGGGTGCGTGTTCGTATTGGACAGATGTACTACGAAAGCACTCTGAAGCTTTCACTTAGTTTTGATAGACGCAACCAAATAAACTATGCAACAGCATCAAAATCAATTGCATATCTAATGCAGAGAGAGAATATCAGGTGTGAAAATTGTAAGCTAGCAACTCATTCAGAACTTGTCTGCATTACCTGGCCCTATTTGAGGGGGGAACCCTTGGGCACACATTGACTTTAGCAGTCATTTGCCTACCTACCAACTACCCCAAATGATCATCATCTTCACCATTACCAATGAACAAGACCACCAAGTCCATTTCTCCCTGGTCACCACCTTTCCTCCTGCATCTATCACTTTTCCCCTTCCCTATCCACTATGTTCTCCTCATTGATCAGGGTGTAATTACAGTAGGAAACATTAGAAATGTCAAATTAAGAATTTATAGTGGATGATCGTATCAAAACATTCAATGTACGGATCAGAAATGGGGAATGAACAATGTATACATAGCTGAGTCCACTAACTACTTCCTCCAGAGGCACGTTTAAAAATTAAGAGCATGTGAAATAGGAGTAGGGCGTAGACCATTGGTTCCTCAGATCTGCTCCACCATTTGATGCAATCGTGGCTGATCCTCATTCACAACTCTCACTTTACTATTCCCTCTTCATATCCCTCGATTCCCTGAGTGTCCATTTTCAACCTTGAGTATATTCAATGGAGCATCCATTATAGGATAGAGAATTCTAAAAATTCACAACCCTTTTGAGTTAGGAAAATTCATTCTGTCCTAAATCTCCTTCCCCATCTCCTTTTCATCCATTCCTCCCCATCTCCTCGATGTTTGTTTGTCAAGCTCCTTGAATACAATGTTATGAAAGACTGTTTCATCCAATCAACATAAAATTCTGCTTAATTGTGATTCTTCTTTTAGACTGGCGAAACTGCTTCCAAGGAAGATAAAAATAGAGACCAGCCTCCACAGGCAAAAAAAGCAAAGGTCAAAACAAAGACTGTGGATCTACCCATAGACAGCAATCTGCAGTGGCAGTTGGATCAGCAGCTGCTCAACCTATTCATTGAAACTGAGGTAGGAAATAGTCTTGGGCAAAGGTTATAATATAGGAGCTAAAAATATAACTCGTCTAACAGTTGCTTGATAGTGCAAGACTGGATTAATGGTAACAGACATGCTGCTAAAGCTCTTACCAAAGAAAATAAAAAGCCTATTAGAGACCCAAGGGTCAGTCTGTGTGGAGGCAAAGGACGTGGTTGAGATCTGAAATGAATATTTCCATCTGTATTCACAACCGAGAAAGACATTGTAGCTGAAGATTTCAGTTGGGATGTTGAGTTTCTGTGAGCATGTTAAATTTATAAGGAGGAAGTATAAGATGTTTTCACAGGCACAAAGGTACATAAATCCCCAGAGACTGATGAAATGCATCAAAGGCTGCTATGGGGGGGGGCAAAGGAAGAGGTGGCCGCAGCCCTGGTGGGGATGTTTAATAATTCACTGGCTATAGGTGAAGTGCCAAATGACTGGTGAATAGCAAATGTGGTTCCTTTGGTCAAGAAGACAGCAGGGATAGGCCAGATAAATTACCAGTTAGCCTTAATTCAGCAGTAGGAAAATTATTGGAAAAACTGAGGGACAGTATCAATCAACAGTTGGAAAGACAAGGATTGATCAGGGGTAGTCAGCATGGATTTGTTGGAAGGAGAGCTTGTCTAATTAATTTCTTTTTTTTACTAAAGGTGACTGCCATTGAAAATCTGTTGAGGAGATGCTGGATAGGTCAGGTTTGTCCTCCCTGGAACAGAGGAGGCTAAGGGGAGATCTGATTGAATACTCGAAATTGAGAGGCATCAATAGGGTAAATCATGGCAGACGTGTCTAAGACCTGAGGGTGCAAATTTAAGTTGAGAAGTAAATGGTTTGGAGGGGATCTGATGAAAATACCTTTCACCCGGAAGGTGATAGAAAGATGGAATGTACTGCTTGAGAGGGTGGTTGAGGCAGATACTCTTGCAACATTTAAACATCTGGACAAGCGTCTAAAATACCAAGGTATAGTATGTTGTGAGCACTTTGTATATTCCATTTAATGGGCTTGGGAATAGGTAGAACAATTTCAAAATTTGCAGACTGCACCAAACTGGAAGATGTAGTTAATACAAAAGAAAGCAGCATAATACAAGAGGTTAATAAAGTTGCAGACTCGGTATGTAAGTAACGTATGTAAGTAGCCAATGCAAGTGCTTCATGTATTTTGATAATGAGGATGAGGGAACTGACTAATTGTTTGGATACTAAGATTTTGAAGGGACACAGAAAACTAAGGGAAAAGATGTAAAATACAAATAGTGATGATGAATGTAATAGAAATAATTTTTAAAGAAAATGCAAATTGCCACTTTCTGAACAGAATTGGAGAGATGCACAAAAGAATTAGGAAGTTTATTCTCTTCTCACTTTGGTATACTTGTGTAGGAAGGTTTAAAGGCACTTGGATCTCTCATTGAAACGAGAAGGCTGAGGTGTGACTTCACAGACCTTTTAATGAAAGGGTTAATAAAATAGTGATCATAAATATCCATGTCAAAGCAAAATATTATGGATGATGGCAATCTGAAATAAAACAGAAATCATTAGAAATGCTCAGCAGATGTGGCAGCATGTCTGGCAGGAGAAACAGTTCATATTTCCACTGCTTGACCTTTCTTCAAAACCCAAGTGAAAGTTCACATTGCAGCATTACATCTCACTATAACATAGGAACAAGTTCTTAAAAAAAAAAAAATCAGCTAAAGTTGCAGTGTAATGGCCTAACAGTCTGTTAAGAATATTTTAATTCTTATTGTTTAAGGCTCTAAAACTTTAACAAATGTTTGTGTCTCAAAAGTATATGTTGATTTCTGTGAAAAGTAAAATTTTGTTTTGTTTTCTTTACAATTTAAGCTGCATCTTTTGTCTTTGATTTGAATTGTTCATTATTTAAGAATAACTTCTTACACATTTTGAACTCTTGTGTAAGTCGGAAGTTTATCATTTTATAAATAGAGATTTAGATGTAGCAATGAAGAAAGGTAATTTAGCCCACATTTTTCACCATCAGCCCTTCATCTTTGTAACAAGAGCAAGCGTGGTGGTCTACTTGTAGAATGGGACAGAAGCAGATAGAATAGTTACTGTGGAATTCTGCGAGTTGAAACGCACACAACTTTCTGATTCTTGGAGAATGGCAAAATTTATACTGCCAAGTAAAATATATCTTGCCTTACTTCATGGCTTGCGCACACAAAGTCTTCTGCTTCAATAACTCTATGGATTTTCAACTCATCAGGATGAATGTTAAATATAAAAGCAAACTCTTTTCTCTTTGCATGAAATTCATTCACTTCATAAAGATAGTTTCTCCCAAATTTCCCATAAACATATTTTAACCTCACACCCTAGGACTCAATACTTTGCTGCTGTAAATGTACACTTTTCTTCAATGAACCATAGTTCTGGCCTTCAGTAATAACACATTTACAGTTTGGCACGAACCCCAATTCACAATGTTACATTTATAGGAATTCAACACACTTTCATTTCATTTTTTGATGATCCTCCTTCATTGGATAAGAAATCAGCTCAACAGAGTTTGCCCTCTTTCCTCTGGCCTCTTTCTCCCTCCTCCTTCTGTGTCTTTGCTTCCTTCTGAAGTGCCTTGGGAATGTAACTTTTGTCTTTAACTTTGTAAATGTGTCATGCAATTATGAAATATTGAAATATTTTAATTACTAATGTTTCCACTTAGGGTAAAATGATAATGCAAGATAAACTTGAAAAGGAAAGAAATGATGCAAAGAATGCCCTGGAGGAATATGTGTATGAAAGTAGGGACAAGCTCTGTGGAATCTATGAAAAGTTTGTCAGTGAAGAGGTAAGTATTTGATTCTGTACCAGTTTTATTTGCATAATGAGGAATACAAATGCAGGGTTCTAAAACAGTACCTAGATGTAATTAGCTATCCTTGGCTTCCAGGAAGGAGCTGAGACAAAGATGACTGCAGGCAATAATGAGAATACGTTTATAATAAGCAACATAACAGAAATGATTAGCAAGTATTTACCAAGGTTTTCCCACTTGTTTTGCTATGTTCCAAATTGGCCTTCAATGCGCTGAAATTTTTCAGCAAAAAATATGTAGGCAGTTTCACATGGCCATTTTGTTTTCCTATGTTGGAGCTAAAATTAAGGGGAAAATTTTCCAAATAACCTGGAGAAAATATCCATAACAATTATCTAAATAATGCAGCCAAACTTACCAATTTGTCCCACTGCTGCTTAACTTGATTGTGCTGTTTTTTTCTTTTGGTTAAGGAGTTTACCTTTTTAAGGATTTAATGACATAGCCATTTAAATTGGGTGTGAGCAGCGAGGGTTTCACAGCTCTGGCAGAATCATGCTAACACATTCTATGTTTCCATTATAACAAACCCTACTTGACAATGGGCTGCTTCTAGTTAGTTCACTGCAAGCCAGTTTGTAGTGATTTCTGAACTCTGAGGGAAAAAAGGGGCTGTTTTTCCTTTTTTTAGAAAAAAGTCAATATTTAGGTAGCTTTTTTTTAACATTTTGATTACACATCTTCTCTTGACTAGAGATTCATGAAATATAGTGTAATATGAAGTATAGGCTTGCCAAACATAAAAGACATGGAGAGAAGAATCACATTCTAAATCACTTAAACTCTCTCCTGATGGATCCTTTTGAGGGGTTATATCAGCTGAATGCAGAAGGTGTATGAAACATGTTAAGCACATTGTACAGGGTCTGATCAGCATCACAGTAAGTTTTATGTATGGTTGGGTTCACATACCAAAAAAGTGCAAGAGCCTTTGTAATGTTGGTTTATTTGCTTGCTTTTCTGGTTTGGAGGCAAATGCTTTCAAATAAAAGGGCACTTTAAATAAAATTGTATGTTTTTTTAAATTTGATTTCTAAATCTGTGGCAGCAAACATACAAAATTGGGGCAAGAATAGTTCATTTGGCCACTTGAGCCTGCTCCATCATTTTAAAAAAAAACATGGCTGATCTGATTCTTGCCATAACTTCACATTGAGTTACCCACCGTAACCTTTGAGTCTGTTGTTCAAGAATCTAGCTACCTTTGTGTTGAAAATATTCAATGACCTTCGCTCCACTGCTCTCTGGCAAAGAGTTCCCAAAGTTCCATCGGCCTCTGAACAAAAATTCTCTTTGCATCCATCTTAAATGGCCAACATCATATTTTGAAATACTCTCCCAGTCATAATTTCTGCTGCGAGAGAAAACATCCTTTCAGCATCCTCACAAAATCTCCGTCTTTGAACTTAATGTTAATTCTTTTTCTCTCTCTCAGCAGATGCTGTCAGACATACTGAGTTTCTCCAGCATTCTCTGATTGATTGTTTCCCTAAGATCAGGTCAACTTCAGTTAGATGGCCTTTTATTCTTAATTCTCATGGATAGTGCGCAACCTGTCCAACCTTTTCCTATAAGATAACCCGCCCATTCCAGGAATCAGTTAAGTGAACCTTCTCTGAACTAGTAATGCCTCGTATTTCCTGAGAGATCAAAACTGTATTCAGTACTCCAGATGTGGTCTCACCAATGCCCTGTACAATAGTAGCAAAACATCACTTTCATTTTCCATTCCCCTTTTAATAAATGACAACTTCACTTCTTAATTATTGAATTACCTTCATACTAATTTGTGACTTCATGTTCAAGAATACCCAAGATCTGCAATCCTGCTCCATTTAAATAATATGTGAGCATGAAAGTTGATGTTTTGGGTCAGGACCCTTCAGAAATGGGGAGGGGGAAGAGACCTCAGAAATAAATAGAGGAGGGGTGGGGCTGGGGAAGGTAGGGGGGATGGTGATAGGTGGATGCAGGTCAGGAGTGGTGGGGATTGGTCAGTGAGGTGGGGGGTGGATAGTTTGGTGAGAAGGTGGACAGGTTGTGACAGGTCAGGGAGGCGGGGATGAGAGGGAGGGTTGGTCATGGAATGAGGACAGGCATGGGGAAATTTTGAAACTGGTAAAATCCATGTTTAGGCCACTGGGCTGTCGGCTCCCAAAGCGGAATATAAGGTGCTGCTCCACCGGTTTGCGGGTGGTGTCATTGTGACACTGGAGGAGGCCCAGGATGGACATGTCCACCAGGGAGTGCGAGGGAGAGTTGAAATAGTTCGCGACCGGAAGGGATTGTTGTCTGTCGTGAACAGAGCTCAGATGCTGTACAAAATGGTCTCCAAGCCTCTGCTTAGTCTCACCGATGTAGAGAAGGCCACATCGGAAGCAGCAGATGCAGTAGACCCCCTTGACGGATGTGCAGGTGAACCCCTATCTAATGTGGAAGGTTTGTTTTGTGTCTTGAATGGAAATGAGGGGGGAGGTGTAGGGGCAGGTGTAGCACTTCCTGTGGTTGCAAGGAAAGGTGCCGGGGGGGGTGGGGTTAGTGTGGAGTGGACGAGGGAGTTGTGGAGAGAATGGTCCCTATGAAAGGCAGATCGGGCTGGGGAGGGTAATATATCTTTGGTTGTCCTCTTCCCTCACCCACCTTCCTGCAAGAATGCGATCGCCTACGCCCAATTCCTCTGCTCCCAAGCTGGGGCATTCCACTCCCGCACATCCCAGATGTCCCCCTATTTCAAGCACCACAACACTTTCCCCCACCCCAACCAAAGTGATTGAAAATGCCCTCAACTGCATCTCTTGAGTTTCCTGCACCTCTGCCCTGTCACACCCCCTCCCCTTAACAAAAATAAAGACAGAATCTCCCTTGTCCTCACATCATCCCACCAACTTGCGCATCCAACATATCATTTTCCACCATTCCGCCGCCTACAATCCGACCCCACAACCAAAGAGATATTTCCCTCCCCAGCCCATGTGCCTTTCGTAGTGACCATGCTCTCCGCGACTCCCATGTCCGCTCCACACTACCCACTAACCACCATCCCCCCCCCTCCCTGCAACCACAGGAAGCGCTACACTTGCCCCTATACCTCCCCCCTCACTTTCATTCAAGGCACAAAACAAACCTTCCACATTAGACAGGGGTGCATCTGCTGCTTCCGATGTGGCCTCCTGTACATTGGTGAGACCAAGCGGAGGCTCTGAGACGGTTTTCTAGGGCATTTGCGCTCTGTTTGTGATAAACGACAACACCTTCTGGTCGTGAACCATTTTGAATACCCCTCCTACTCCCTGGGTGACACGTCCATCCTGGGCCGCCTCCAGTGTCACAATGACGCCACTTGCAATCTGGAGGAGTAGAACCTCATATTCCGCCTTGGGAGCCTACGGCCCAATTGGCCTAAACGTGGATTTTACCAGTTTCAAAATCTCCCCACCCCCAGCCTCCTCCCATGACCAACCCTCCCTCTCATCCCTGCCTCCTTGACCTGACACATCCTATCCATCTTCTCTCCCACCTACCCGCCCCTCCCACCTCACTGGCTAAAACCTACCACTCGCTACCTGCACTCACCTATCACCACCCCACCTACCTTCCCCAGCCTTACCCCTCCTCTCTCTTTATTTCCCAGCTCCCTTCCCCCTCCCCATTTCTGAAGAAGGGTCCTGACCCGAAACGTCAACTTTCCTGTTCCTCTGCTGCCTGGCCTGCTGTGTTCCTCCAGCTCCACGCTGTTATCTCTGACTCCAGCATCTGCAGTTCTTACTATCTCCGTTTAAATAATGTGGTGTGTTTCTGTTCCTCCTGTAAAGATGGGCATGTTCAGATTTTCCCAAGTTACACTTTATCTGCCAAGCCTTTGTACACTCTCCTAAACTATTTATATTCCTTTGCCTTGTGTCGCAACTTAGGTAGTATACTCTCTTTGCATCGTTATCAAATGTCGCAACTGCATTTTGTGTCCCCTCATCCAAGTCATTGAGAAAAATTATAAATATTTGAGTATCCTGCATTGATTCTTGTGGTATTGTGAAAATGAAGATCTTTTTATTTCAATATTAATGCTTTCCATTTCTGAGATCTGAATGGAGAAGTGGCAATGACTGTGTGATAGTGGATGATTTTTTTAAAGCTTTGTTTAATGAAAATTATAGAAGTTTATTTGCTTTTGAAACTGCAGTTTTTTTCCTTACAAACATCTTTCTGTTGCAGTTTCCTTTTTGCTTTCATGAATGTCAAGGCACTCTATGATCATGATCAAATGCAGGTGTGGTTTTGTCATAGTTGTGCTGTGTATTTTTGACAGTACTTGATCTGTGAACAGCAGCGTTCTTAACTGGCAGGGGTTCTTGTGCCACAGTGGTGGTGTCCCTGCCTTTAAGCCTGCAGATCCAGGTTCAAGTCCCACCTGCTCCAGAGGTGTGTAATAACATCTCTGAGCAGGTTGATTAGAAAAATAACTGGCAATTGAAGTCTTGACTACACTGACTTTTATCTGCTGTGACTTCTGGGTTGGCATAAGGATAATTAATTCCCTTTTGATTTTGTTATGGTCTAGACCAAACCCCGTCAAAATATTCAGAAGATAGTCTAAACCTTTACCTTTAAAATAAGAAAAAGTTAACGTAAGGTGTTGGGTTCCAGGTGCAATTCAATTGGTCAAACTGCTGGATTTAAAGCAAAACACACTTTATTCATCCACTATAGTTTAAATACTACAAAAGAAAGAAGGAATTGGAATAACTTAACTGTATTAGAAAACTTAACCAATTAATAGATACAGTACCTATTACAAATTGACTGTTCCAATATAGTAACATCTCATAAACACACTGTTGGCAAAAGGCAAATTCAGAAAACGGGTTATCTCACATGCAACTCCCATAGCAGACAGAGAACCCTCCGCTTTTAGATGTAACTGAAAGAGGGAAAAAATAGCTTCCACTTCAAAACCCCAACAGCAACTGCTGAAAGCTAAACTAAAGATCCCAGTTCTATCGGAGTTTGACCGCACCCATTCATGCTGCTTCTCTTGTTCCAACTTTTTTTTTTTAAAAACCCTAAAGCCTCAAGTTGTTTATTCTTGTGGTAATTATTTATAGCCACAACATCACAATTTTTTTAAAAAAGATGATTAACTTAGCCAAACTGGCCATACACTTTGACCTTCTATTCCATTGAAAAGTGGTCACATTGCTGCATTTGAGCTGTAATACAATGTGACAAAATTACCACAGTACAGATGTGTTTAGTGGCAGGCATATGGTTAAATAAGCATTTGGTCCTGCTCCTATCCACTGTAACTGACTGCAGCTAATGATCTACACCTTTGGGGGTGTTTTTCTCTTAAAATGATTGAGAGAGGCGGGGACCACTTTGAATTACTAACTCACTTGGTCACTAGTAGAATAATAACTCCAAAAGGTACCTTTTTAAAACTAATCTTGTATTGCAACATTGTATTTTATATTCATTCTTGGCATGTAAGCATGTCTTGGTGTCAGGACGAATAAAATTAAAATAGATGATAGTAAAATTCTAAACCACATGGAACTACTACCACATGCAGCCCACGTGGGCTTAACATTTGTAACTGCTTACTTCCATAATGAAATCTTGAAATAAAAATACAGTCATTTCAACTGCAGGTTACCCAAATTAATCTGTTTCATATGTGCAAAATTGGAGTGCACTAAACGAAATATGTATAATTGACAGCAGAAATATAGATCTTTGAATTAGGAGGTCACTCAGATCAATGTAAAATATTCTTTTTACTTTTAGGAACAAAGCAAATTAAGCGTCCTGCTAGAAGACACTGAAAACTGGTTGTACGAGGATGGTGAGGATCAAGGGAAACAAGTATATATAGATAAATTGACTGATTTAAAGGTAAGTCCGCACAGCTTGGTGAATCACTTCCTGCTATTTGCAATGCATATATATTTATCAAACATGGAGGGAAACAGTTTAGTATTCCTGAAGTTAAAGTTATATTCCTCCTTGTGCTGTACATTCCTAGAGAGTAGGATTTCTGTGGTGCTGGTAAAGTATTGTTTTCCATTGTTGTCACTAATCACTCTTTATGCCATGTATTAATTTCTGATTAACTTAGTGTATCATCATATGTAAGGGCATAAAATACAGTTGGTTCTGCTATAGCGTGTTTCTTCAACGTGAATTGACTTTAACGTGATTGAAGAATTTAGACCACTATTTGTAGATCACAAACTTTCCTTAACTGTATTATCTTTAACATGATTCCGGCCCCATCAGTTTAAATAGCGCAGCTATTGCGTGATCATCTTAGTTCTATTCTTGTGCAATCTCTCATTATTGTGAAATATCAGAACTAACTATGACAGAAAATTGACAATAGGAAGATCATTGCAAAAGATGGTGAATAGAAAAAGGACTTCAAGAATTCAGTTTCTCCATTCATCTCAAACAATGAAACATTTAACTGCAAGGTGTAGGGACCTGTGAATATTGATAATCTAAAATTAATGTTACCTCCCTCACTGTTCTGTGGTTGAAGTGTCATAGATGCCAAAAATGGAGATTAACTGTTGGAATTCCAACTGTCCAAAATCCATAATTTTGTGGGCAATCAGTCACGATAGCTGTGGTGTCTCCTTTGGAGACACGTGTGATTAAACTTGTGAACAGGGCAGCAATGGCACTCACTTCAAGTTTCCATTGTACTTGTCTTTGAGTATTGCTTCTGGGCTGGCATAAGAGTTATCAAGCCCATTCTTGTATAAAATGGCAAATGTTAGGCAATAGATATGTTAAAATAGTTTCCGCTTACTTTGACCACTCATTGCTTTGAATTGCATCATGTTGTCATAATGCTGGTCAACTTTTGTCACATTGTTGCATTTCCCAAAGTACAGGTGTTTGCTAACAGGCATTTGGTTAAATAGAAATTCTGTTTGTGCTGCGTATCTATTGTAACTCTGATGCATTTAGCTAACTGCATCTGTGGCGTGTGGCGATGCTTCTCGTGGTGAACGTGTGAGATGGAGATTACTTTGACCTGCCAATTGACTTGGCCACTAATAGAATGGTAGCTCAAAACAACTTTTAAACCAGATCTTCTATTGCAGCATGATATATTTTATGTGCATGTCAGTTGTTGCTATCTGCCCTTGAGTGGGTGGTGATGGTGGGGTGGTGTGCTTGGTGTGAGGATAGAAGTTGATGGAACAGTACAAAGAACAAAGAAAATTACAGCACAGGAACAGGCCCTTTGGCCCTCCAAGCCTGCGCCGATCCTTATCCTCTATCTAAACCTGTCGTCTATTTACCAAGGATCTGTATCCCTCTGTTCCCAGCCCATTCATGTATCTGTCAAGATACGTCTTAAATGATGCTATCGTGCCTGCCTCTACCACCTCCGCTGGCAGTGCGTTCCAGGCACCCACCACCCTCTGCATAAAGAACTTTCCACGCATATCTCCCTTAAACTTTTCCCCTCTCACCTTGAAATCGTGACTCCTAGTAATTGAGTCCCCCATTCTGGGGGGGAGAGGGGGGAAAGCTTCTTGCTATCCACCCTGTCTATACCTCTCATGATTTTGTAGACCTCAATCAGGTCCCCCCTCCACCTCCGTCTTTCTAATATAAATAATCCTAATCTACTCAACCTCTCTTCATAGCTAGCACCCTCCATACCAGGCAACATCCTGGTGAACCTCCTCGGCACCCTCTGCAAAGCATCCACATCCTTTTGGTAATGTGGTGACCAGAACAGTACACAGTATTCCAAATGTGGTCGAACCAAAGTCCTATACAACTGTAACATGACCTGCCAACTCTTGTACTCAACACCCCGTCCGATGAATGAAAGCATGCCGTATGCCGCCTTGACCACTCTATCGACCTGCGTTGCCACCTTCAGGGTACAATGGACCTGAACACCCAGATCTGTGTATCAATTTTCCCCAGGGCTTTTCCATTTACCGTATAGTTCGCTCTTGAATTGGATCTTCCAAAATGCATCACCTCGCATTTGCCTGGATTGAACTCCATCTGCCATTTCTCTGCCCAACTCTCCAATCTATCTATATTCTGCTGCATTCTCTGACAGTCCCTTTCACTATCTGCTACTCCACCAATCTTAGTGTCATCTGCAAACTTGCTAATCAGACCATCTATACCTTCCTCCAGATCATTTATGTATATCACAAACAGCATTGGGCCCAACACGGATCCCTGCGGAACACCACTGGTCACAGTTCTCCATTTTGAAAAACTCGCTTCCACTACAACTCTGTCTCCTGTTGCCCAGCCAGTTCTCTATCCATCTAGCTAGTACACCCTGGACCCCATGTGACTTCACTTTCTCCAGCAGCCATCTCCATCAGATAATACTGATCTACTGACCTGGAGAGGTTTGCAGTAACCTTTTTTTTTGGTACTGAATTCATGCTGTTGCATCCCCAAGGGACGTTTAGGTTTGTCATTTTCTTAACACTACTATTGGTATGGGTTCTTGTGTTATGAGAGATCCTGCCATGTAAGCAAAGAAACAATCTTATGTTAAAGAAGCATTGTCTCTATATGCCTTCTTACTCTGTCTGAACTTTTTGTCAGGGAGACTTGTTTCCTGAAGAGTCAATCAAGTATATGGACATTGTAGACGGTTCCCCTCTCAAAATATTAATCTTCTTTGTTTGTGAAAGCATTGTCATCAGCTGCCTATTTTAAAAACACTTCCTGCAGACCACTATGTTTCCAATTCCCCTTTTTATCCAGAGTTATGAAACGTGAATGCCTTTCAATATCCACCTTGCTTTCCAACAGGTCTAGGTTTGAATTACCGCAGTCAGCTTTCTCTCCTGCCGGAGCACTGAAATTGACCTAATTAATGTCAAGTTAACATATTATCTATCCTTGTCTGTCTTTCCCAGTCCCTCTGCAATGTTGAAATGATCAACTTCTAATTGACCTATGATGGCCAGCTCAGTGGATTCATTCTCGGCTTGATTTTATTTTTGACTATCCAATTGTGATTGGTGCTTCTGTGCAATGGCTTTTCTTTTTGCCTTTGCATCGTTAATTTTGGAGTTTCTGAAAAATCTGTTCTTGACCTTGCCCTCTTATTTATCTGTATGTACCTCCTTGGTATCATCAAAATCTGTGTTACAAGCTGACCCCACACAACTTCAAGCCTTCCAGCACTATTCTCGACTTCTGCCCTCCCTCTCTGATTGCAAAACCCAGCCTGAAAGATCTACACCTTCCTCTGTTACTAGATTGGGAAGATGAGAGCCGTTGTCAAAGAGATGCAGTGATACTGAAATTTCTAGTTCTGCACCTCATTGAGAGCACCCAGCATAGGTACAGTGTACATCTAGGTGGTTGCTCTGCATGATTTAGGAGTCATGATCCTTTAGTTCCAACACCGTGCTATGTGATTTAAGTGAGTTTTACACCATAAAGTTTTTGATCTTGCAAACATTGAAGAACTTGAAATAGAGTTCAGATTAGCCCAATTTTTAAAAATGTACAGCAGTATCTTCTAGCCCATCAGACTATCAAAGCAACAGGACAAATTTGTCTGTTTCTGCAGCCCTGACCCCATCTATTTGTTTGCACATGCACGCGTTTCAAGGTAACGTATACTGTAATATGCAATCAAGTAATTGTGTCATTTATCTCTTTGCAGAAATTTGGTCAACCAATTCGGGACCGTTACCAAGAGTTTGAGGATCGTCCACGAGCCTTTGATGAGCTGGGGAGACAGATGCAACAGTACATGAAGATATTAAATTCCTATAGAAATAAAGTATGTAGGCAAGAACTTTTCATCAGGTGTAATGTGTGATGGAATGAAATGTAAGATGAATGCATAAAATATACCTTCCAGTATGTTCAAAATATTTATAATAATACTGTTTAATCTTTTAGGTGGTTTCCTTTTCGGTGTTAATAAATATCCGTTTTAAAATCTTTTCAAGAATACCTGAGTGAGGTGGAATGTTGTACTTGGAATACAGCAGGCATAATTTGTAATTTAATAATGACAAGTCATTAAAGGTGGCAGGACAAGTAGAGAGAGCTGATAATGGAGCATACAATGTTGTAGGCATCATAAATATATAGAGAATAAGAGCCAAGGTTAAGTTGAACTAGTATAAGAGAATGGTTAGACCTTAGTTAAAGTATTGTGTGCATCACATTAAAGGAAGGAGTATTGGAGACAGTGCCAAAAAGGTTTACAAAAATTATTCCAGGGATGAGAAGCTTCATTATCTGAGGAAAATTTGAAGATGTTGAGACTGTGTTCTCCTTGGAGAGGAGGAGGAGGCAAAGAGGATATTTGGTAGAAATTTTCAAAATCATGAGGTTTTAAACAATGTAGATAGGGTGAAACTGTTACTACTCCTAAATAGATCCAAAAGCAGAGGGCACAGTTTTAAAATGTTCTGTAAAATAAGCAATTTCAAGGTGCAAAAAATCTTTGCACAGTAGTTAGGGTATAGAATCCACTGCCTAGAAGTGAGAAGAAAGGTTCTGTTGAGACATTCAAGAGGACCTGGAATGATTGTTTCTATTTATTTAATTAATGCGCAAGTTTATCAAAAAAACAGCAGGAGATTAGCACTAAGTTAAAATGCTCAGCGAATTGCTATAGATACAATGGACTAAAGGGCCTCCTTCTGAATGTAACAATTCTGCTTGATGTTTGTCCAATTGCAGCTTTGTTTTTGCATTAATAGTAATGGATCTTCCCTGTTAGTGGAAATTTAGTTAATCTTATTTACTATTAAGGGGAATTATAGGTCTTTAGCCCCATTAGTTTCTTTTATTTCTAAAGTGATGGTTATATTTATTTACTCCTCCCCCTGCCCAGCCGATTGTTAGTAGTTTTGGAATGTTATTATTGTCTTTCTTGAGCTTCTGTGCCATTTCTTAGTTCTTCATTATTTTTCCCTAGCCTCGTTCTCTAAGGTTGTTGTGTTCACTTTGGCCCATCTCTTCCCTTCTATGTACTTAAAGAAGTTCTTGCTGCTTTTTTTCCTCTTATTTGCTGGTCTGACTTCTTAGTTATTCTCCTCCTTTATTCTTCTTTAGATAATCTTTTGTGATTTTAAAACTTTCCTGATCCACTGGTTTACCATTTATCTTTGCCACTTTTTTTTGTTTCTTTCAATTTGATACGATCTTTACCTTCTTTATTTAACTCTGGTTGTCCTTCCTCATTGGGATGTATCTTTGTTGTGAGTCATGAACTATTTTATTAATCACCTACTGTTGATCCTGAACCTACTTGTTTTGCATTTTCTTTCTCCCTTCCTACAGACCTGCAGAACTGAATCTCAACAGGAAAAGTGCTTGACTAATTTGGAGAATTACTTTTGTTCATTACAACATCTTTGCCAACGTTAATTTAGTGGAGTTAAATCTATGAACAATACAGATTTTGTTAATTGCTCATGTTTCTGGCTCAGCATCTGAGATTTAAAGTTGCTGACCTGCACTGATCGTGCTGACACCAGCTGCATTATTGTTTTTCATAATGGTAGTTTTAAGGGAGTTCTTGGCAGGAAGGCAAATGTATTTTTAGAAAATTCCTCAAAAACAAATGGGAATGGAGTATTTAATTAAAATTTTGTTTCTTGTTACTTCTAAGCAATTTGTTGGCTGCAATTGCAGTATCACAACTTATTTCAAAGCCTGTGGTTCTTCCTCAATTCCCCTTAAAAATTCTGCAGCCGTTTTAAACTTTCAGCAGCCGCAATGCTCGGGTTGTTTTAGGCTTTCATTGAGTGAAGCTGAGTGTGATCATCTTAACTCCAAAATGACATGTCTGACATGGAAGGTTTAAGAGTTTTGATTCCTTCAAGTAACAACTGTAGTAATGTAATACTTGCACTAGACATGTCTACAGTACTCCATTGTGCTGTTGACAATTAAATAACCTGCCAACCCAGCTCCCGAAGGCAACCTTGTAGGAAAAAATTGACTATAGTTGACTGTGTTCTAGATAACACTAGTAAGTGACCAAATTTTGGGAAGAATGCCATCGGAAAACTAAACGTGCGCCTGCTGCTAACTCTGATCTAGAAAATGTTATATTCACTTGAGAGAAAAGATGTTGGCAGGAGAGCTAGCTGCACCTAAACCAAGGAATAGCTGGATAATCAAAAATGGATCAATATTAAGGAAGTATTAGGAAGATGTTTCAGAACAAGCTGAAACATTAAGACTTGAGGTCTGACATTTCAAATCCATCAGAACAAATTAAGGGCAATGCAAGAGTTAAGAATGACTAAGAAATAGATGTACTTAAATTGCTAGGAAAATACATAGCTGATGGCGTGACTAAAAAACAGCAACGGTTCTTCAGTGTGATGACGTTTTTCAAGGGTAGCAGTTTGAACAAAATTTGTTCATAGCAGTCAATTTCAATTTTTTAAATTTTTTTCTTTTATTTCCACTTTTAGGAAGAACAATATGATCATCTGGATCCAGCTGACATGGAGAAAGTGGGCAAGCACGTGCAAGAAGCGATGGAATGGATGAACAGTAAGATGAACTTGCAGAGCAAACAATCTCTAACTCAAGCCCCACTAATAAAATGTGCAGAAATTCGAGCCAAAGTTAAGGTAAAAAAATCCTTCCAAGCGTTCTAAATAAAATAATCATGGATTTGATTTTTATCTGTGCAATTTGAACCTCCACAGCTGCTTATTATTGATTCTGCCTATATTGTTTGAGTCATTCTGAACCCCTGAAGGCTATTAGAAATATGTGGAGTTTGGTTACTTGGAAAAGACATGCCAAGAGAGAGAGAGCATGGTTATTATACAACTGATTATTACAGTATATTTTGAATTATTTTATTCCCTGGAATCTCATTACTTTTTCCATCTCTGAAAACAGTGGTAAGTAATTCAGTATGCTGTTTGTGAGGATTTTTATTTTTGCATAACCATTCTACTCTTCTTGGTATTGTTTCTTGGAGATGGTAAAATTATAAATACAACACTCAGTAAAGCAGCTTTACCCATTACTAAGGTTACTTGTGCTTTCTATTAATGTGATTCAAGTTAAGTTTCCTCTGAAACCTATTTCCGTCCTTTAATACTGAGTTTTCATTTGGGGGATGTGGGTGTCGCTGGCTGGCTAAAATTTATTGTCTGTCCCTTGTTAACCCTTAAAGTAGTGGTGAGCTGCCTTCTTGAACTGCTCAGTCCACCTGCTATGGGTTGACCCATAATGACCTTAGAGGGAAATTCCAGGATTTTGACCCACCGACAGTGAAGGAACGGTTATATATATCCAAGTCAGGGTGGTGAGTGGCTTGTGGAGGAACTTGAAGGTGGTGGTGATCCCATATTTCTGCTGCCCTTGTCTATCTAAATGGAAGTGTTCATGAGTTGGAAGGTGCTGTCTGAGGATCTTTGGTGAATTTCTGCAGTGCATCTTGTAGATAGTACACGCAGCGTTACTGAGCATCAGTGGTGGAAGGAGTGGATGCTTGTGGATGTAGTACCAATCAAGCAGGCTGCTTTGTCCTGGATGGTGTCAAGCTTCTTGTGTTGTTGGGGCTGCACTGATCCAGGCAAGAGGGGAGAGTATTCCGTCACACTCCTGACCTGTGCCTTGTAGATGGTGGACAGGCTTTGGGGAGTCAGGAGGCGATTTACTCACCGCAGTATTCCTAGCCTTTAATCTGCTTTTGTAGCCACAGTGTTTATGTGGTGTGTGCATTTGAGTTTCTGGTCAATGATAACTCCCAGGATGTTGATAGTGGAGGATTCAATGATGGTAACACCATTGAATGTCAAGGGGCGATGGTTAGATTGTCCCTTATTGGTGGTGGTCATAGCTTGGCATTTGTGGCATGAATGTTACTTGTCATTTGTTAGTCTCTAGGCCTGGATATTATCCAGATCTTGTTTTTGAACATGACTCTTCAGACACTGAAGTAGTTCAAGAATGGTGCTGAACAATATGCAATCATCGGCGAACGTCTCCACTTCTGTCCCTATGATGGAGGGAAGGTCATTGAAGCAGCTGAAGATGGTTGGGCCTAGGACACTACCCTGAGAAACACCTGCAGAAATGTCCTGGAGCTGAGATGACTGACTACCAACAACCATTACCATCTTCCTATGTGTCAAGTATGACTCCAATTACCAAAGTTTTCCCCATGAAACCCGTTGATTCCAGTTTTGCTGGAGCTTCCCTATGTCACATTTGGTCAAACATAGCCTTGATGTCAAGGGCTGTCACTTTCACCACACTTCTGGAATTTGGCTCTTTTGGCCATGTTTGGACCAAGGCTGTAATGAGGTCCGGAGCTGAGTGGCCCTGGTGGAACCCAAACTGGGCATCACTGAGCAGGTTATTGCTAAGCAGGTGCTGCTTGATAGCACTGTTGATGACACCCTCCATCTCTTTATTGTTGATCAAGAGTAGACTGATGGACGGTGATTGGTTGGGTTGGATTGGATTTGTCCTGCTTTTTATGTACAAGACATACCTGGGCAATTTTCCAGAATCATCAGCTATCATCCATATAACTTTGAACAAGTGTAGGTTGTCATCTGTTGCTCGTTTGGAAATAGTGTTGTAAAGGATGGACAAATCAAATGGATGAATGACTGTAACAATGAATGTTCCCCAGTTTGTTTGTTTGTTCATTTTATTGGCATGATTGCCAAGGACAGGAGTTATTCCTTACAATTTTTTCAAAAAGATGAAAGCAATCTAAGGTGTAGAACGTGTGAAAAAACACCATGGGTTAGCTGGTTTTGGTTAAGGTACAGGAAAATGTAAAACACTCAATTATTTTGAATAACTTGTGCTGTAATGGACTTTCTGTGAATTATTAGAGACATTGATTTTTAAGCCACTTAAGTATTAGATTTGTTGAAGTGAATGCTCTGTTATTCAACAAATTCTCCATATATTTATGTATTATATGGGAGGGTTTCCAGGAAATCATTGAAAGTAGACGGTGTTAAAAATTTGAAGGGATGGTGAATAACTTTCTCAAGCTGAGCTATTGAAGATTTGAGCTATGAAGTAGTGATCAACATCTATGGCATTTGGAACAAAACTTTTCAATTTTTAGCAAAGCATCTCCAGGTATTTCAAAGCATTATTAAACAAAATGATATTGAGTTATTGGGGGAGACTTTTGGAGCAGAAAATTAAAGGCTTAGAGGTTTTAAGCTTAAACTTTTCAGTTTGAAAGCTCTCTTAGCAGGATTGGACATGGCTAACGGACGAAATTGCTCATTTACAATTTAATGTTTCAAAGGCAGTGAGTGGGTACTTAACGTGGTAAGACTATTTTAAATTTGTTTTATGATACACATTAAGTGTATCTTCCATGTTATTTATTATCTTATGGAATTCAGCTATAAATCTCAAGTTTATCCTGAGTGACTTTTTTTCATTTGACCCCTTCCCAGGAGTTGGTATTACCAGTTATTTTCTTTTCTCATCCTGCATTTTGTATATATGCAAAAATAATCATTCTCACTTTCTCTGTCAGGAATTGGTCAGCCTTTGTAACCCCATTGTCAGCAAGCCAAAGCCTAAAGCAGAACCTCCAAAAGACGAGAAGGAGGCAGAAAAGAATGGACCAGTGAATGGGCAAGCAAGTGCTGACACTGACATCTCAGCACCTACCACTGAGGGTACCCAGAAAAATACAGAACAGCATCAACAACCTCTACCAGAGATGGACATTGAGTAACGGTGCAACAGTGATATCCAAACTGTTATGTTAAAGTCATAGACTTTGCAGGGCAGCTTTTTTCACCTTTTTTATGGTGAATGGAGTAACCTGAACCTGGTATTCTTGAATCTGTGTGGCAAATTTTGGTAGCTTTTTTTAAAACCCCTTCCCTAACTTTGCAATGGGATGGGAATTAACTAATACAACTGGGGCTTGAATTAAATGTTTTGTTACAAAAGTTTTGATTTTGTTTGTGGCTTTGTTTCACCATTAAAGCTGATTCTTTTGTTTTGTAGCCCCGCTTCCTGTCTGTCCACCCCAAAAGGTGGTGATTGCTGATTCTGCCAGAGTCATTTGTGAGCTTTTCTGGCAAGCTTTCTGCTGGTAATTAGAATGCTGGATAGCAACATGCATACCAACAATTCACTAAATAGCTCACGTTCAACTTGAGTGTTGTTTAGTTTTTTTTGTCTTGTTGGCTTGCTTTGATTTGTTATTGACAGCTGTTGGAATCAAAGCTATATTGCCTGTCTTCAAGAATCTCAATCTTCAAAGATGCACGTACCAATTTTTCCCTTTAGAACGCTACCATCAGTTTCCACTTACTTATTACTTATCTTACAACAGTTGTATTGAAGTCAGAATTATAGTTTGGATTATATGTTGAAGGAAGACTGTTTCAGGTTCCATATTCTTAAAAACAATTGAATAAAATCCTACTTTTGGACAACAAAAAGTGCTGTCTGTCCAAATTTCTGATAAATATTGGTTTAGTTCTCAGTGTGTATGTACTATACACTGTAGTGTATATATACAATGTTACTGTACAACATCTCTGCTTTCACTTACATTTCTTTGATCTATGACACTGGTTACTTCCCTTTAATTCCCATATTAAATTTAAATTGTTTGAATTTATTTGTGTAAGGTTTTTTTATTTTGTGTAAATAAAGATTTAGGAGGAGTGGAGAGAAAAACCAATAAAATGCTCAGTTGTATTCGGTATTGCAATGCAATATTGACTTCTCAAAGAACAGCAACTTCAGAACTGACAGCATGGTCAGGCTTATTGCAAAGAGTTGTCCACAATAACCACAACTGACTTCAAAATTCATTCAAGAAGCATGCCACCCTGCACTGTAGTTGATTTGAATCTCCAATAACTATCAAGTATTCTAGATTGTGATTCAAGAAAATCAGATTGTAATCTAATTTTTTAATGCATATATAGCAACGAGCCTGTTTTGATCAGGTGGATCAGAAACTATGTTGAAAAGAACATGCACAGTACGGTGGCAAGGCAGTGACTTTTCAAAGCGTAGAGGAAATACTACTGATTATTGCAGTTAATTTTGGAAAGAATGGTTTGGTGACCAATTTGCTTGTAGCTAGGTCATTTAAGCTTAGTGAGCATTTTTGAGATCCATCTTCCATGTATTTGCTTATGGAAGAAAAGTTTAAATCTAGAAATAGAGTACAAAAATTAAACAAAGATTCCTCAGGAATGCACTGCACAGTGAAGAAACGCTTCCTGTTACCTGCACCCAAAGCAGCATATTGCAACTTAGGCAGCCAAAAAAACTGAAACATTACCAAAATCAGTAAGCCAGTTGTTTCTTCTCCCTCTCCCGTAATTCTACTGTATTGTTGTTCTGCTTGGAATGAAGGTTTGTGTTTGTTTTAGTGTCATTAAGCTTTGTCAGCTTTTATAATGAAAATGGCTTTGATCAGTTTTTCATAGCGTAAATGGTCATGGCAGAGGAAGGAATGCAAGAAGAGTATCGCTGTGCATAGTGAACTAATGTACAGAAATGCTAGTCGTGTTAAAAGTGCTCCTTCTCATGCACTTGCATTTCAGCTCTCAACAGCCTTGTGTACTGTACACAAGTTATCTTACATACCAAATTCTTAGAAACAAAGTACCATTATGATACAAGACCAGTTCGGATATCCCTGTTTGCTCAGAAATTAGTCAAGTCTGTCCAGTTTCCAGTTCTTGTTGCTTAAGTATTGCATACTGAGTTATGAAGCTGCACCTCAATATAGCAGGTGCTGGTGATTTGTTATAGTCATTAAAACTGTATAATTTTAAGAACTCTGGTCTTGCAACACTGTCCATTGGCATATCATGTCAAGGCTTGAGTTACTATTTCCACTGTATATTTATACTCTTGCTATTTCACTTAACTGTGTGAAATATAATAAAAAAAATTGAATGAAGAATGTGTTTTTATTTAAAGATTAGGTGGCTTGGTCATGTGGGATCTCTGGTTTCAAGTAGGCTGGGAGGGAGAATTATTTCTGGAAGTTCAGTCACTTTCCTTCAAAGAAATTGTCTCTATTGATATTACATACAGTTAACTATCCAGTACTTCAACTGGCTTAGTATCTTCTAGAAACAGGAAACAGTGAGATAAATTAAAATATCCCACTCCTGGCTTTTTGTATTTTGTTTACTTTTAGACATCCTCCACTAGTATCCCAACTGCCAAAAGATCTAATCTCAAAACTTGATAAATTTGTAACACGTGACAGCAGTTGGAGAGGTAGCGGAACATCTTGGATTTATGAAAATAACTTTGCATGCATAATTTTGTTGCACTTTCTACAGTGTCTCCATGATGGATATGGCCTTGCTCATACAGACAAGTTTTAGTCCAGAGGGTGTTTTAAGGATGAATGTAAAAGACACCTGAAGGTGAAAATGCACTGCTCTCGGTAAGCTTGGAACCTGGGTTGACAATTTATTTTTAAATATAGAAGGATAAGTTTTAAAAGAAAATATTTTCCATTTGATGTTACCTACATTACAACATGACTAGAATGACAAGTGCATAATTGTCTATGATGGGTCTTAAGACAGCCATTGGACATGAAAAGAATGTAAGTACAAAGTTTGTTCTTATCTTTATGGGATGAGACAAATTGTTCTTGAGAATCTGGACTCTGGCTTCAGGTTAGTATATTTCCAAATTTGGTTGGTAGAGGTCCTGGTTGTGGGACAGTCTGTGGCCTAACTCGGCCTCTTAAGTGGAACAATTTCAGGGCCTCATCCTGTTACCACTTCAATTTAATAGGCAGCAGCAGAGGTATGAACCTAGTACATAACTTAGCTGGTTTAATCCTGCAAGCTGTCAGTGAAAGGGTGTCTCTTCCCCCCCTCGCTTTGGCCCCTTGTGCTACTATGAAGCCTCTGAAGTTTCTGCCTTCAGGTTGACCTATAGTCCAACATGTTTGCGCGGGCCTGACAACCCACTGCTGGTGAAACCCTGGACTATTTATGGCTATCCACTGATTCGCTTCTTCCTGGACCTCCTGCAATACTGGCTACATTCACCAGTTCTGCTATGCACAGAGCTGCTGGCCATAAATTTTCCAATGATGTGAGGTGCTGGGGTGGACAGTCAGAAGTCACATGACACCAGGTTATAGTCCAACAGGTTTTTGAAATACCGAACTTTTGCAGGGCTGCTCCTTGGTTAGGTGAAGTCATAAAATTTTCCAGAAGTGCTAAGGTGGGTGTGTCTCAGGAATTGTGGGAAGTCCCACCTCAAACTAATTAAACAAAGTACCCCAGATACTGTTAGAACTTGTTATTTAAACAAGTTACACTCCAGAAAAATCAATTTTAGAATGCCTAAAATAGTGATACATATTCAAATCTGTCCCACAAAATATACAATTTATTAAGCATACACAGTCTGAATGAAAGAACGGGATCAGGAGGGAGGTTGGCTATAAAGAAACATACAAACTATTGTTCCTTCAGCTGCTAACTTAGCAGTTTAAATTGAAAGTGAACCAAGCTTAATGCTGTTGATAATCTCAACACTTATTCACCAAACTGAACGTTTTGTTTTTGACTAGTTAAATTTGTGTCAGAACAAATGTACTGTTAATCCTATTTTAGTACTTGTAGCACAGTTCTGAAGTATTTGTCCAACAGCCAATGGTTTCATAGTGGTTAGAAGAACTTGCTTGTGCCTCAAAGACTTGGGTACTGGTTTTCAAAACAATCTTCATTATTGAAAAAAAATTCTAATAGGTATTTAAGTAATCCTATACAAAACATCTGTCAGTACTGAAATATTTAGAACGTTTTAATACATTGTATTATATGTAAAATCAAGCTGTCACTGGTTGGAAACCGTTCCATACTCCACAGGCCTGTAACTAACCCATTCTATACTGCACTGTACATCGAAAAACACATAACAATCACAGACTAGTAGTAAGAAACAATATTGAATAAGAATGTAATTCTTTTAAAGTGAACACTAAATGACAAATTTTGTGTGTCCTGGAATATTACACAATGTAAAATGTTAACATTTGTCAATTTCAATGCAGTTGCATTTCAATATTTCTTCACTTGTATTAGTAACATGTATGTGTCTTGTTGCCATGAGTGATTTTAAAACAGCTCAGACCAAAATGGGAAAATTCAGAAGTTCCTCCACTAAATGAATTTGACAACAGCATTTAATCTCGGAGCTGAACCATATTGCTCACAACCCTGGAAATTAATTTTCAATAGCATTTTTATTATATAAGCTCTTGTTTGAGCAAATATTTCCCCTTCCAAACTCTAATCAGGAAAAGAATAGTTTTGTGGGTTACTTGCAATGTGTTGACCAACAAGCTTAAACACTCAGTGCACAATATGCTCAATTTACAAAGTGTACTAATTCAGTAACAACAGCACAAGTGGAAAGGCAAGTGGTAATTTTGGGTTAGTAGAACAAGCCAGAAAAGGTTTTCACAATGTATAAACAGTCACTGAAATTTGAGAAGACTTTGGGTGATTTCATGTGCATTTTATTTAGGCATTTTTTTTTTTCAAAATTGCTTGAAATACACTGACCTAATAGCTTTGACATTTAACAATTAGGAATCAGCATTTAAAGTAGAGAATATACTAGATCAGCCCTACACTCGTTTAATAAAGAAACAAGTGCTAACATCCTTGTCAAAAAGTGAATGCTAACCATTCCTTTCATTGAAAAGGGATTTAAACTCGGCTTCAGTAATTTTCCACCTGTAATGTCCTTTTATAGTATTGATTCTAATAAAATCCATGCTCAGAAGCCTCCGATTCACCATAAAATTCAATTCACTTCCTCAAACTATTTCTTCTACATAAGTTAGCTTGTCCTAACTGCCAAAACACCCTTTAACAGTTTCATGAGTTGGGAGCTTCAAATAAGCAGCCTGTATACCTAGAAACTGTCCTGCAATGATGACAAGCTTTTCCATCTTTTAGAAGAGATAACAGTGTGGAGGTGGAGCAACACAGCAAGCCAGGCAGCGTTAGAGGAGCAGGAAAGCCGATGTTTTGGGTCGGGACCCTTCTTCAGAAATAGGGGAGGGAAAAGGGAGCTGGGAAAGGTAGGTGGGGCGATGATAGGTGAGTGCAGGTAGGGAGTGGTGGGGATTGGTCAGTGAGGTAGGAGGGATGGAAAGGTGGGAGAGATGATGGACAGGTTGTGGCCTAAATGTGGATTTTACCAGTTTCAAAATCTCTCTACCCTTGGCCTCATCCCATGACCAACCCTCCCTCTCATCCCTGCCTCCTTGACCTGATACTACCTGTCCATTTTCTCTCCCACCTCACCGCCCAATCCCCACCATCTGAAGAAGGGTCCAGACCTGCTCCTCTGATGCTGCCTGGCCTACTGTGTTCCTCCAGCTCCACACTGTTGTTGCCGACTCTAGCATCGGCAGTTCTTACTATCTCTTTTATATTTTTTATTCCTTCTGTGGAAGAAGGGGGGCAAAAAAAGGTCCTAACAACAATGCTTGAAGTGAGCCATAAATAAAAGCTTTGTTTTAAATTTAAAAAACCTGTAGTACAATAGTATCTTCCTTGCACCTGAGAATGAATGGCTCCCTACAAGGATCACAGGCTTAGTCTGCCCATAGCAACAACATTCGCGCTACACCTTCCTATACAAGAAAAACCACAACACATGCCAATACCAATTCCCCTAGACTGTTCTCTGCAAGGCAATTCTAATTGGTAGTACTAGTCAACATTTTAGGGACAAAAATTAAAGGCACTATTTGTTTACTCTAAAGTTTGAACATAACATGTAACAACTCTGCAATGCTTAGACTGAAAATGAAGCATAGCCATCAGAACATTTAACTATAGTCTCTTTCAGCTTCCTCCACACAAGTGAAACAGTGATGCAACTCACATTTGTCTGGACCTGAAGCCTTGAATTAGAAACACTACTTGAGCATATTGAGTTTCAGCATATGATGACATCAATTTAAATACTTTCTTTCTGTAAAATCATTAAAATAAAACCTCACTCTTCCACTCTCCTGCTTACAAAATTACAGCTTCTACTTCAAAGACTGTACCAAACCTAAACATTGTGTAAATGCAAGTTTGTAGAGTTTAGGAAAATCCAAGAGTAACAAGATTCCTGTGTCAACCCCTTCCTGCACTGATTTAACTGGGGACAGTATTCCCAACACCAGAAATCAGACGGGTGTATAACTGCCCAAATCTCCCAGCATCTCTCCCACTATCGTACCTGCTCAATTAAGTTCTCCCCATGGTTTGTCAGAGCTGCAGAAATTAAAGGGAAATGGAGTATTATGAAACCATAGCCTCCTCTCAGCTATTGACATGGCAAATAAAAACAGGCATTACATTTGCCAAATCAATATGCATTAGTAGACTGAAAAGAATGACTAAATAAATCTGTGTTTAGTCCACTTCTAGGATCTTTCTGCATCTGACCGCAATTCAATTCTTCAAGCTTGAGGTAGGAGGAAGAAATAAAGTAATGATTGATAGTCGACATGTATAATAATGGAAGTGGACACAGAATCAATAAATTTCCACTTCCCAAATGAATGAGTCATATGCATTTGTATCTTAAGTAATTACAAATTTCACTTAATATTTTAGATTAATTAAGGTTTTAAGTTAAACTGATAATCAAATAAGTGTATATAAAATTCAACATTTGCCTGAACTCTGCATAGTTACATGATGGTTGAATACAAAGAGCTGAATATCATATCTCACTTAGAAAACATTTAGAAATGCAATACTAAAACGATAGCTGCTAGTATTATATTTTAGAATTACATCCCATGCACTACTTCACTGCATGCTGCAGCTCTTCAGGAAGACATCTGGTGAAGATGATCAAAATTGGCTAACTGTTGAGGCACTTAATCTGACAACCATTGTTCCTTTTTGGTGCATGGTGTATTACAGTTCTGGAGGAGGGAAGGTGAAAAGCGTGTATTAAGGTATGTCTTTCAAAATTGGTGGCTCATCAACCAGAACAAGGTCACTGTTGAAATGAGGATTTCAGAATATTTTACAACAGAGCATTCAAAGCATTGCTATTTTGTTGCTTGCATACATAAATATATGAAGCATTAAAAAAGTGATGCAAGTTTACTACTAAGTTTCCAATACAGGGTTTGGGTCATGTTTTAGATATTCTGAGCAATTAGAGATGAGCGACAAATGTTGGTCTGGCCATCAACACCCACATCCTATGAAAGAACAAACATAAAACTCTAGGATAATGCAGCAGTGATCAAAACCCCTCGAGTTAACTTCAAAGTACAAGAACCCAAAAACTGTATCAATCTTCATCCAGATATTTGCATCTGTCACTTGACTCCCCAAACTATTTAACAGATCCAAAACAGTAGTGGTAGAACAGACCAAATATGCATTATTAAAGCATCTTTATTTCACAGCAAGTGAAAATGCCTGAGCAATATTTATAACCAGACAGTATTATTTCAATCAGTATAGCTTGTCCTTGTAATACAAAATAGTTAAGGTACTATGCTTTCCCACATTAGTGGGTTGTCTTACATGAATAAAATGGAGTCTAATCTTTGCAAAACCAAAACATCTATGTCTGTCTTTTTATCTAAGCATTCTCTACCAACAACCTTACAGTTCCTGGCAGACAATCCTATTGTGATGTGCTTGTCGAATATCGAGACAAACTACTGAATTGCTTATTGGTTTATAATTTGTAGAGTCAATTCATTTTAACAACTATGAAAAGCTTTCAAATGCACCTTGCTTTCAGAACCCATCATTTAAAAGTAAGCCGCCTCCTCTCCAATGCTATTTATGGAAAATAGTCCCAAGGTGAGACTATGCTTCCAGCTTCTGTTTCCATGTGCACCATACAATTCAAGAATGCTTCAGAGCGAATACTAAAAGTTGAATAGGTATAATTAAAAAACACCAATTCTAATTCAGTCATTTCTGTATACCAACAATTGTGAGATACAGTGGAAAATCACGAGTGAGTAGACTGGCACAGAGTCAGGTAATGAGTACATAAACATTTCATAACGTAAGCAAAGGTGAAAAAAAATGCATAGAAGTGGAGGGGGTTGGGAAGTGAATTCAGAGCAATCACTGGGGGGGGAAAAAAAATTTTGCAATATGTTCAAAGGAAATGTCCGTTGCAAGGTAAGTTGATTATTTCACAAAAAGACCAAGTACGCCATACCTCATTCAGTATAAGTAGCAGTTTCAGGAATTGTTGGAAGAGGAGTTATATGATGGTAACTGTGAAGTTGCCTGGATGTGCGTCTTGATACAATCCACATGAGTTTTTTGCTAGTAGGTCTGGAGCACCTAGATGATGAATATTCTGCTAAACATTCTGCAACATGATCTCGCCAATAGAACAAATCATGGTCATTTATCTATGGGAAACAAAATACTTGAGTTAGATGTACAGCTACATGTACAGACATACAATGCAACCTCTCTACCAGAGACTTTTAAAATCTACTGATGTTCAGAATAACTCAGTCAAATTCATTTGAAGATATAGAATCAGTGACCTTGCAGGTAATCCTAAATATAATGATAAAAGTGAGTGCTGGGGCAGGGGTCTTGTGTCACAGTTGTAGAGACCTACATCTGGACCAGGAGACCTCGGCACAAGTTCCACCTCCTCCACAGCTATATAACTACATCTCTAGCAGGTTGATTAAATATATCTAAAAAAGGGAGTGTTGACCATGCAATATGCAAATACAAAGAGGCAGTGGAAAAGAAGGCCTAATAGGATTTAAGATTTCAGCTTCCAGATACAAAAAGTGGCATTTTGATGCCTTTAATAGTTAAAATTCGTACCAGACAAAGAGGCAAAGCCAAGATATAAAAACTGTGGATGAAATTTGTGAACTGTAATTCATAACAGAGTGATAGCTACAGACTGTCTGCTTTACACTCCAACAATAACTTGCAATTACATAGCACCTTTGATATATTAAAATATTCCAAGGCTCTTCACAGGAAGACTGTCAAACAAAGTTTTGTTACGGAGATATGAAAAGAGATATTAGAATAGATGCCCAAAAGTTTGGTCCATAAAAAGTAAACCTCAAAGTGAAACTTAGAGGGCAGAGAGAGGGACAGCACAAGAGGGAGTGCCATGAAAGTCACTGGATGAGGGAATTGGAGTTCAAAGCATAGACAGCCAAAGGCACAGTCAATGGTTCAATGACAAAAATTGGATATCCTCACAAGACTAGAATTGGAAGAGTGCTTTTATTTCATTGGATTGGGAGGCTGAAAGAAATTACAGAGGTAGGGAAGGAAGAGACCATGAAGCACTTTCAAAACCAGGTTGAGAATTTTAAAATTGAGGCACTGAGGGCCAGAAGATATTATTAATTTATTATGAAACAGGATGCCCGTTTCCACATTTTGCATTTGGCCCAAGAAGAATTTCAATCCCATCATTTAAACCCACATCGATTTCCCACGTCATTGTTCAACGAAAAGTATTGTTTTCCAAAACATCCTGTTCAACTCTGTTACAGAATGCAGACAAAATGTTTTGAAAATAATTTTGCTATATCCCAAATTCCTCAGCATCATTCATCTTAAAAGAAGTGTGAGTGCTCACAATGGACTTACCTTCTATTTAAATCCTTAGCTCCTTCTAAAGTAATGAGTTATGTCAGCTATTTTATTTTTAACTACAAGGTAAACCTACAGCCTACTGTCAGCTATTTTATGTAACATAGTATCACTTACTTCGGAATGTTGTTGTAGATTCTCTATGGTCTCTGTTAATTCATGCAATTTCTGTGTTTGGACCTCCAGTGCAATGATTGACAGTGCCAATATGGACCCCTGAAAAATATATTTTTAAGTCTTGAAAATCAACATATCATTTTAAAGAAAATTAAAAACCTCTGTGTCTAGACTTACTTTTGTTTTGGAGAATACAAAGCGACAATTACAAGCTTTAAGTTGGGATTCAAGTCGCTCGAGATTCAGCATCATTTTCCTAAAAGTAGAGTTAATGTCAGACAAATTCTATTCTTTGGAATTAGACGGCAGTATCAAAATAATTGCACATTTTTCTACAATCAAGTGAATTCATTTTGTCACATTCAAAAGGACTTTATTAACATTTGATTTAAATTTTAATTTCATTTGCAAAATACTCAACCAACACATAACCTTTGAGCCTCAACAAGGAAGTACGTGACAGCCAAGTCTCTGCAAACTAAGTCATCACAAGAAGTGTTTAATAAAAGCTAACCTGGGGCTGGTCAGGATACATTACTCCCTGGGAAAAGTCTGACCATTCCACAATGGAAATTTTAAAAATACATTAGTCCTCTCCGCAATAGCACTGATAAGAGCAGGAAGAGCAGAACCTGTGTGTAGTGGAAACTGTATTCAAGAGTATTGACTAATCCATGTTGCAGCAATGTTGAGATTTCAACATCTTAAAGAACTTCTGCAATTAAATAAAATAATTCTGGGCAACCTTTTTTCCTTTATACACAGCAGGATATTTTCACAGCAAATCCCTTGTCACCCATAATGTACAGCACTGTTAATTAAGGGCCCAAGCGACTTGCAGAACTCGCTGCACTCCCAGCCTCCAAAAGAATTGTCAATATTGGGCATTGCTATTTTCTACATAAACTCTGGACTGCACTTACAACATATGTACCTCAACTTTAATGAGCAATCCAGGCGACTTTCTTAATGCAATATTTCACTTAAGTGGCAAAGTAATACTTTTAACTTGCATTTCCAGTCCAAGGTAGCGGCAGAGTGGTACGCTTCAGCCGGAGCTTCTCTGCTCCGCCTGTTCTTTCTCTCTTCTCAAACTTCTAACTTTAAACTTACTTGAAGGGGAATGGAGGAGGTGACTCCCAGAACAGAGGCTGTCGCAAGGATTCCTAGTCCAGGCCGGTGCAGGAGGTGAGTCCCATACCGGATGCTAGCAAGTGGAGGTGAGTTCCGGAGGCGAATCCCTGACCGGTGGCTGACGCCAGAGTGGGGGCAAGACCTGGAGGTGAGGTCTTGTGTTTTGAAGCCCGGCATGGTCTGGAGGCTTGGCCTGCTGCAGTCTGAAGGCTAGGGGCTGGCACAGTCTTGGGTGAAAAGGACTGTAACTCGAGTACCTTTTTTGCATAGCCTCAAAATTAGGGACAGCAGATTTAGGACTGAATTGAGGACTAACTTCTTCACCCAAAGGGTTGTGAATCTGTGGAATTCCCTGCCCAGTGGAATAGTTGAGGCTTCCTCATTGGATGTTTTTAAAACTAAGATAAATAATATTTTGAACAGTAGAAGGAATTATGGGTTATGGTGTGAGGGTTGCTAAGTAGAGCTGAGGCCACGAAAAGATCAGCAATAGTCTTATTGAATAGCAGAGCCAGCTCGAAGGGCCAGATAGACTCAGAGTCATGGAGTAATACAGCATGGAAACAGACCCTTCAGCCCAAACTAGTCCACGCTGACCATGGTGCTCACTCAACTAGTTCCAATTGCCCACATTTGGTCCATATCCCTCTAAACCCCTCATGTACCTATCCAATTTTTTTTAAATGTTGCTATTGTACCTGCGTCAACCACTTTCTCTGGCAGCCCATTCCATACACGCACAACTCTCTGCACGAAGAAGTTGCCCCTCAGGTCCTTGTTAAATGTTTCCCCTCTCAATTTAAAATGGCCTACTCCTGCTCCTGGTTCTTATGTTCTTATTCTTATGCTGGACTTTTATTTATTATTCTTTCAATTTTGTACCAAATACTTAAGTATCTTTAACTAGGTATCCTGTACCAAAGATAGCATCATAAGTGACAACATTGCAAACTTTTCACTGCACTCATTCAAGCGCACGTGACAATAAAGCTAATTCTAATTCTAATTCTAATTCCTGCTGCAGAGAACATAATAGATGCTAGGTTGACGGATCTAGCACAAGGTAAATAAGATGACAACACTAGATCAAAATAGCAATGAAGTCACTCATACCTTTCAGTTGAAGAACAATTCAGAATGAGTTTGTGATATAGTCGCAGAAAGTCCAAGGCAGTTGGGCCTCTCACTCTGCAGCGCAACTTTTCCAATATAATATTCTCCATCCTCATCAGATCTGAAACGGTGAATCTACATTGACTGATTCGAATCAGGTCACTGGCAAGTGGAACACTGTGCTCTTCTTCAGTTGCTTTCACAGCAAGGTAAAAGCAGCACAGGCCAACACAGCATAAATGTTTTGGCTGCACCTAGAACCAAACAATATATGTGAATAACCAAGTGCATTTGTTTTAGTACAAAAACCAAAGTTAACACACCAGACAGCAGCAAGGGTGTACTCCCCTTTCATTAGTATGTCATTCAGATGAGACATTAAAGCAAAGCCCCAGTTGTCTGCTCAGGTAGCTATAAAAGATCCCACGACGCTATTTTGAAGAAAAACTGGACTGTGATTCCTGATGTCCTAGCCAATATCTATCCCTTCAATCAATAACACAAACAAATAAATTAGCTGGTCACTCCTCATCATATTGAACTGGTAATGTTATCTCTTTCTCTACATGTGCTGCCAGACCTGCCAAGTTACTCCATTTTCTCTTTTTATTTCAGATCTCCAGCATCCACAGTACAGTTAAATAAATGGTAGTCTTTTTTCTTCCTGTTCAAAAATAAGTCAAACATTGTACAAACACTCAAGTCTCTACAAGTAGGATACTTAACTTCTGAATTTCATTTGTAATGTGTCCCAAGATACAGTGATCATCCATAATTTCCCCAAAACTGTTGCTTACTTTGCGTTAAAAAATCATAGAATCCCTACAGTTTGGAAACAGGCCCTTTGACCCAACAAATCCACACCGATCCTCAGAGCTTCCCACCCAGACCCATCCCCCTAACCTACACATTCCTGAACACTATGGACAATGTAGCAATTCACCTAACCTGGAGCACCTAGAGGAAACCCATGCAGACACAGGGAGAATGTGCAAACTCCACACAGACAGTCACCAGAGAGTGGAATTGAACCCAGCTCCCTGGTGCTGTGAGGCAGCAGTGCGAACCACTGAGCCACCGTGCCACCCAAATGTTTTGGACCCCCACAATAACAGACTTATATGGAATGTAAGAAAAAAGGGAGGCATCTTAATATAGTCCAGAATAATAATCAATACTCCAATTGTCTGTAAATCACCAATAGGCCCATATTTTTAGTAATGTTTTTAACATCTGGGAAGTCTTGCATATTGTAATATCAGCTGTGTTAAAGATCTTGTGCAATAGCTGAATCACATGCAGTTGGGTCAAGCATTTCCAAAATACTGGACTTATCTCCAAAACAAATGCACATTTTGTCATTAATGTATTCATCAGTATCAAGTTAAATTGAATCGACCCACAATCTACAATTTAGTTTTAGCTGCAGACGTTACTCGTAATGTCAAAGGAATGGACATTCACTGTTCCCAAGACAGTTGCCACCAGCTCAAACTGAACTCTAATTCTCTGTTTCTGAACTGCATTATTGAGAGCAGGAATTTAATAAGAAACAATACATTGGATCTGTAAAGCTAATGAGGCAAGCTATTTTTCATGCATTAATATGTGAAGAAGGATTAATAATCCTGTCGGACTAGTCATAGAATGTTTTCCTCATACGAGGTAAAATAATACATCTTAATTGCCTTACCTTCATCAATCCTAGGAATCTATCAAGCAAACTGACAGCTAGGACAAATGCATCAGTTCTAAAGCCAAAGAACTGGGACAGACTAAGGAGATCCTTGACTTCATACTCTCTCAGTCGCACAGTCGTCCGAATTCCACTCTCAGGTGCTGATTCGATGACCTTCAAACCACTTATCCTTGGCTGATATTTTGGTTCCTGTTCTAGATGTACATTTAGCTGGTTCACAAGTGCCAGGATTTCACTGCTTCCTCCTTGATTTTCAATTCCAATCATCTGAAACAAAAGGGAAGGAAAGGCTTGATATGTTGTCACTCAATAGCTCTGAATCTCCAAGTGAACACAACAGTTTTAATGTGACAAGCAATGAGTTGCAATTCCAAGCCAAAATGAGACCGGATGTACAAGAATTTGTCCTTTCTTCTTGACAACTTGGCTCATCTTAAAATTTAACTATAGGATAGTTTAATGTTGACCTGTTTTTCAAAAACAGAATACCTCTTAGAGGTAATTTCTTTCTGTTGCACAAACTGCCATTCATCGGCTTGAAATTGTCCACAAAGATGCGGACTGATATGTCAGACTTTTTATTGACTGACTTATCCCATCTGAATTCTTCATGTTTGGAGGTTTGTCTGTTCTTAGTACTGTTAGCTCTTGCGTGATTAAATCCTAAAATCAGAACAACAAACTCTATTTGTAGAAGTGACTTCCATCGTGAAATTGTGTTTAAATGTTCAACCCCAGCCCTCACCCTGGAGCTTCACAATGTTGTATAAGGGGTTAAGCCTAACTATAATATGGAAATAAGACAGTATATATATATCACCGGAAGTGACGCAATGTCATGTGATCTTGCTGTTCCTAGCAAGATTAATCAACGGTAAGGTGTTCCTTTAATGCTAAAAAAAATGTTTTCCCTACCTCAGCAGACTCTAAATGTTTCTTAGCAATACAGTGATACCAAGAACATTATACACAGTAGAAATCCATTATGCCAAAGACAGTTATATTCCTATCGTAAATCTTTTCCCCGACCCTACATTCCAACTTTATGACCCAAATGATGTCAAGTGCTGCAGGGACATTTTGCCAGCAATCCAACTGACTGCAGACACGAATGTGTGTCTTAAAAGCAAAAGAGTTTCAGCAGGCAAATAAAGTTCCTCTCCTCTTCATATTACAGGTGGTTAAAGAAACTACTCTCTCAATGCAGGACAAAGAATTTAGGCGATGATGAATGTCTAGGCAGCTACTGAAGGCATAGCATCATGACAGAAGGCCAGTGCTAAGCAGTGACACAAATACACTGCATATTCAGATAGGTTGTGTTGGTAAGGTTAGTTTATGTATATTCTATGTCACACACACTTGCGCAACCAGCTTTTTAAATCTGCCAGGACAGAATGGATCAGACTGAATATTGCACAAGGCTGCTGTACAGACTGAAATTTCTGCTATGCGCACTAACTCCCCCCTCAGCTCTAAGGTTCACCAATCGCCAGTTCAGGGTGACCTCACCTCCCGTAAAGACGGGGGCTGACACCCGGCCAAGGCTTCAGCGCTCTGCACTCTTGAATAAAACATGTTCGAACTTGTCCCGTTGCCATCTGCAAACCGGAGCATCAACCGTTCGCTTGCCAGGCCCCACTGCTTCCATCAGACAAAGTGATAGTCGCTAGCAGGATCAGCGGACAACGGACCGCTCATCACTGGCACTGGGAGTTTCACTGAGATTCAAATGTAATCAGCAATTATATTGTAACCCAGGGAAACTGCAGCGCTGTGCAAAACACACAGCAAACGGAACCTCCACACCACTCAAAACTACACATGATAACGCTTAGGCATAATGCGATCGTAAACGTATAAAATAACCGAAATAATACGAACGTGTAATAGGCAAAAATCTACTTCTCACACACGCACAAAAACAGAATATACTGGAGAAACTCAATAAGTCTGACACCATCTGTAGAGAGACACAATGTTTGAAGACCCTTCTTTAGAACTCTCCTCCTATCTCACTGTTTCTCGCCTGAATATTGACATTTAGTACATTAGACAAACTTTAATCAATTTATTCTTTGTTTAAATCCATCGTTAAAAGACTAAATTACCTTCCTTCCTTCCTTTTCTCAGTTCTCCAACTCTTCACAGATCCCGGCATAATCGTCTTCTTTTAAAGGCACTCTCATATCCCGCCCGCCTGCCAAATCAATTGCTCTGCGTTGCTCGGCTCACGCTTATTTCATTTCCCATTTGTCAGTACCCGAATCCATCAAATCGCCTTTTACCTCTTCCTGTCTATTTTCAGTTCTGCAAGGCTGCGTCGGAGTGTAAAAAAAAACAAAAACTAAACGACAGCCCGGACGAAGCGTTCAAATTAAACCTCATGGATGGCGACCAGTAGTGAGATTTAATCTCAGTTTTGATACAGCATAAAAGGTTTATTTTCTGCGCAATGATTTAACTGCCTTGCTCCGTTAAAGTTCAGAGTTTTGACAGCAATAACTTCCTATTTCAAAAAAAACCTGTTCTCGCACACTTTGGTTTCAACTGGCTCAATCTTTTGTAGAATTTTTTTTTCTTTTAAAAATTATTACTTTTATACCTGCTCTGTAATAATATACATCAGGTTCCTTTGTAAAACTGAGTCAAATATTTATAAAGCACACGTCTGATTAATGTTCTACTTCTATTAGGAATATTTAGTTCAAGTAAAAATAAAATACTGCAGATGTTGGAAATATGAAATAAAAGCAAAATGGTCGAGAAACTAAACAGGTCTGGCAGCATCTGTGGAGAGAGAAACAAAGTTCTGAACAGAGTTCCAAAGAAGAGTCACCAAACTGGAAACTTTAACTCTGGATTTCTCTCCATAGATGCTGCCAGACTTCTGCTGGGTTTTTCCAGCAATTTCTATTTTTGTTTCAGATTACCAGCATCTGCAGTTCTTTGTTTAATTTTAGTGAGAAACAAAGTCAATGATTTGATCCCTACATAGAGTCATTGCGTTGTACAGCACAGAAGCAGGCCCTTAGTCCAACTCGTCTATGCCGACCAAATATCCTAAACTAATCTAGACCCATTTGCTACCATTTGGCCCATATCCCTCTAAATACTTCCTATTCATCCAGATGCCTTTTAAGTGTTGTAATTTTATACCCTCTACCACTTCCTCTGGGAGCTCATTCCATACATGCACCACCTTCTGCATGAAAATGTTGCCCCTTTAAAGTTCCTTTAAATTTTTCCCCTCTCATCTTACACCTCTGCTGTCTGCCTTGGGGAAAAGATCTTAACTATTCATCCTAGCCATACCCCTCATGATTCCATAAACCTCTATAAGTTGCTCCTCAGTCTCTGATGCTCCAGGGAACATATCCCCACATATTCAGTCTCTCCCTATAGCTCAAACTCTCAAACCTTGGCAACATCCTTGAAAGTCTTTTCTGAACCCTTTCAAATTTAACAACATCTTTCCTATAGCAGGGAGACCAGAATCGAATGCTGTATTCCAAAAGTGACCTAACTAATGTCCTGTATAACTGCTACATGACATCCCAACTCCTATACTCCTGACTCTTTGTCAGAATTGAGAACTTCAAACTCTTCCGAAGAGTCATATAAAACTGGAAACATTAACTCTGTTTCTCTTGGCATATGTGCTGACAGATCTGCTGAATTTCTCCAGCACTTTCTGTTTGTATTTTATATTTAGAGCAATGCTGCCCTTCTTTGAATCTGGTCTTAGCTCTTATCACCGCAATATTATTTTAAACTGCATGCAATTCACCAATTTTAATTGCATTCATTCATAAGCATGCTCTGTTACCCTAATTTACACTATTTCCTCTTATGATGAGCCTATCTAAGACTTTACTATTTCCTGCTCTACTACTCTCTCAATGTACTTGGTAGCCGTATCTTTTATTACCTCCTGTTTCACAGATCCTCACCGAATTAGTTTAAACTATCCCCCATAGTATCACACCCGAAGGAAATAGATCCTGGCTCTGTTTAGGTGTAAACTATCTGTCTCATAGAGTTCTACCTCCTCCAGAACTGATCCCAATATTGCAAGAATTCACAATCCTTCCTTCACCGTAAATTCTCCAGCCATGCATTCATTGGCTGTATCTCCTAATTCATTACTAAATTGCATGTAATACCAGGAGTAATCTGAAGATTACTACTTTTGCAATGTTAATTGCTAATTTTCTACCTAATTCCTAAAATCTGACTGCAGGTGTTCTGAAAGAGAGGGAAGATACTGTTTTGAATAGGAGAACCTTGCAGTACATGATGTCCCATCGCTGTCAAGGACAGAATCTATTTGGCTAGAGTGAAGGAATAAATAATATGCAATTACATTGTGGTGTGTAGCCTATCAGTGTTAACTCATGGGAATGATGCAGAGAGCAAATTTGTAACAAAATTACAGAAAAGTGCGAGAATTATTGGATTATAATGGAGTCTTTAATTATCTGACTATAAACAGGGGTAGTAATAGTGGGAAGTGCAGAGAGGAAATGATTTCCTAGAATGTCCTTGAAAAGTCCTTGAAATACCAGGACATCTGGGATGTTCGGCAGTGGAACTTGGGAGCAAATGCGGCAGAGGCAGAAGAATTGGGAGTAGGGGATCACATTCTTGCAGGAAGGTGGGTGAAAGGAGGTGAAGATGACCTATATTTTAAGGACCGCAACTTCACCCCTTCAGTGGTCGAAAATGCTCTCGACCGCATCTCTTGCATTTCCCGCACCTCTGCCCTCATATCCCCTACCCGCAACAAAAACAAAGACAGAAACCCCCTTGTCCTCACGTGTCATCCCACTAACCTCCGGATTCAACATATCATTCTCCGCCACTTCCGCCATTTGCAATCTGACCCCACAACAAAAGATATATTTCCCTCCCCACAATGTGGTCTATTGCATCCGCTGCTCCTGATGTGGCCTCCTCTACATCGGTGAGACCAAGCGGAGGCTTGGAGACCGCTTTGTAGGGCACCTGCGTTCAGTTCACAACAAATGACACCACCTTCCAGTCGCGAACCATTTCAACTTCCCCTCCTACCACCTGGGTGACATGTCCATCCTGGGCCTCCTCCAGTGTCACAGTAACGCCACCCGGAAACTGGAGGAGCAGCACCTCCTCCATCCCCGCCTCCTTGACCTGTCCGTCTTCTCCCCCACCTATCCGCCCCTTCCACCTCACTGACCAATCCCCACCACTCCCTACTTATCACCATCCCACCTACCTTCCCCAGCCCCACCCCTTCTCTCTCTATTTATTTCAGAGCTCCCTTCCACCTCCCCCATTTCTGAAGAAGGGTCCCGACCGGAAACATTAGCTTTCTTGCTCTTCTGATGCTGCCTGGCCTGCTGTGTTCCTCCAGCTCCACACTATGTTATCTCTGACTCCAGCATCGGCAGTTCTTACTATCTCTGCTGCAAATGTAAGATGCGTAAATTATACAGCATCTGATTATAGAAGATAGACAGATTCACATTTTGGTCCTATTTCCTATCTGGAGTCTTTATTAATACATCTGAGAAAAAGACATAGCCACCTGAAATATTTTTCTTCTACAGATGCTTGTAAACCTGTTATACATTATGTTTCAGCATTTGCAGCACTCTGTGAAGTCACTTGACTAAGATTCTAGCCAGATCATTAATAAAATGTTGCCTGCCCAATTATCATAATGATCTACCTGATTCATTATTGTCCTTTAAAGAAGGAAATACACCATTTTAGATGGTGTGACCTGTATGTAACTGCAGACCCACAATGACATGGTTGACTCTTATCTGCCCTGTGAAATGAGCTAGCAAATCACTCATTTCAAGGAAAATTAGGAAGGGGCAACAAGTGCAGGCTTTACCAGTGATGCTGACATCCCATAGAAAGAATTAAGATGAAAACGTATGGGGATGCTGAAACAGGGAGACCTAGGTGTATACATGCTTAAATCAGTGAAGGTGACAGCACAGGTTGAGGGAACAGTTAATGAAGCATAGGGCATCCCTGACCTTTATCTCAGGATCACAGAGCACAAATGTAAGGAAATTATTTTAAATCTTTACAAAACAATGGTTTTTCCTCAACTGAAGTATTATGTCCAGGCCTGGGCACCATAGTTTGGGCAGTGTGTGAAAGCATTAGTGAGGCTGTAGAGGAGAATCACGAGAATGGTTCCAGGGATGAGGAACTTCAGTTTCATCGAAAGATTTTTACTTTGGAGAAATGATCATTGCAAGGAAATTTAATCAGGGTATTTAAAATCATGAGGGGCCATGCTAGAATAGATAAGAAAAACCATGCCCAGTTGTGGAAAGATCAAGAACCAAAGGAGACAGACTTAACATAAATGATAAAATATTCGGTATTGATATTGATATGGAAATTGACATTTGGAGAAACATTTGCACACAGTGAATAGTTAGGATCTGGAATGCCCTGGCAAGAGTCCAATAGAGGCAGAGTTAATTGAGTTGTTCAAAAGAAAATTGGATCATTATCTGAAAAGGAAACATTTGCCAGGCCCAGGGGAAAAGACAAGGGAGTGGCAGTAGGTGAATTGCTCCTTCAGAGGGCCAGCACAAATTGCTTCCCTCTATGCTGTAGCTATTCTATGATGCTACTGTTCCTCAATTTTCACACATCCAAGGCCCAAAAAGAAAACACTTTTTATTATGTTGCAGAGTATACATCAAATTTTCCATTGAATAAACCTCGGGGGATATAAACCAAATGGAAAGTAATACCGTTATAGCAGAGGTGAAAAGCTGAGTTGTAATGAATTTGGGATACTTGAAATGGAATGCCCATCATTTCATTAACCAAAATAAGGCCAGATGTTACTTTGTCTGCCCATCCAATGATGACAATGGCCACACGAACAACAGTCATCGATATCTGCCAGCTGCACAGACACATCAGTGCAAGCAAACAATGTGAACAAATTTAATGCCACTGCTGGCTGGCTTTAAATCTCAACTGTTTAAATCCTTTGCAGTGAATGCAATGCCTTTAAATGAGCTACTATTTAACTAATCAGTGGGTGTACAAAAAGTCTCAGTGCTTTGCTGTAAGCACAGCATTTCCAAAAAATCAGGAAGAAATTATTCTCAAGGATTTTGATATTGAGAAGACAGCAGACACTCATATACATGAATTGGGTCAAGGGATTTAGCCTTTGAAATTACACACCACCTTATTAGCTTAATGAAAGAAATTTTTGAATGTTATTTAAACAAAGCTTTTAGCCTATTTACCTTACAAGATAATTTCAAGCTCTTATCTTTCTTATTTCTAGACATGACCTATTTCAACATATTCCTTCAATTTTGTAATTGTTGCTGTGCCCTAAATGGGCAGTGCTTATAATTCATTTGTTTAATTAGTCAAACAGGTGATTTAGCGTTGGGTTTTAGAGAAACAAAACAAAAAGTGTCTTTTTTTTTGAAGAGGTGGGCACCGGATGGTTTGGGTGCATTATTTCCCGTCCAACACTATTTGATTTCTTTTCCTCCATGGTTTTCCCCATCTTTTGCTTTTGGTATTGCTACACTGCCCCTGATAGGTGGTGTTTTTTAATTGGGTGAATTAATCCAGATGACACTAAAATTGAAGATGTAGTGGACAGTGAAGAAGGTTACCTCAGAGTACAACAGGATCTTGACCATATGAGTCAATGGGCTGAGGAGTGGCAGATGAGTTTAATTTAGATAAATGTGAGGTGCTGCATTTTGGAAAGGCAAATCAAAGCAGGACTTATACACATAATGGTAAGGTCCTGGGGAGTGTTGCTGAACAAAGAAACCTTGGAGTGCAGGTTCATAGTTCCTTAAAACTGGAGTCACAAGTAGATAGGATAGCGAAGAAGGCGTTTGGTATGCTTGCCTTTATTGGTCAGTGCATTGAGTATAGGAGGTGGAAGGTCATGTTGCAGCTGTACAGGACATTGGCTTGGCCACTTTTGAAGCATTGCATGCAATTCTGGTCTCCCTTCTTTAGGAAGGATACTGTGAAACTTGAAAGGGTTCAGAAAAAATTTACGAGGATGTTGCCAGGGTTGGAGGGTTTGAGCTATAGGGAGCTGAGGGGTGACCTTATAGAGGTTTATAAAATTGTGATGGGGATGGATAAGGTAAATTTGCAAGGGGACTCCAAAACTAGAGGGCATAGGCTTAAGGTGAGAGGGGAAAGATATAATAGGGACTTAAGGGGCAACTTTTTCATGCAGAGGGTGGTGTGTGTATGGAATAAGCTTCCAGATGAAGTGGTCAAGGCTGGCACAATTACAACATTTAAAAGACATCTGCGTGGGTATATGAATAGGAAGGGTTTAGAGGGCTATGGGCCAAATGCGGCAAGACTTATCTAGGATATTTGGTCAATAAGGATAAGTTGGACTGAAGGGTCTGTTTCCGTGCTGTATATCTCTATGACTCTAATAAATTGGTAGTTCATTATTAAAATTTTTAAAAAGCTGGATTTTCTGGCCCTTGCAATTTAGTGACTGAGTGCTATGTTAATTTGGTGGTGAGTTCTTAAAAAAGAAAATCTGAGTTTTTTTACAGTAAGGTATTGGCTTCTGGATGGGGAGAGAATTCAGAATGGAAGAGCAGAAACTGGAACTTGTGCTGAACTCTAATTTAACAAAAAACAGTTTTACATCCTGGAATGTCTTCAGCTGCCTCATTCAGTACATGGGCACATGTTCGATAAACATTCATCGGAACAGTACATTCAACCAGTTGTTACATTTTTCAGTGCCCTTTCCCATTCTACTTATAATAGTCACTTGTCTCAATTGACTAGCACCTTCAAGGTAAATATTTGACTTTAATATCCACTTTTGATTGTCATCTTTGGGACTGATGGCCTCATTATTGATCATTAGAACTGAGCTGTTCTTTATCAGACAAACTATCAATTGCTGCAGTCTGATCCTCATAGCTAAGCAACATCTTGTTATAATAACTACCCAGAGTTCTTCATTACTTACTATGTTCTTTAGAATCTGCAAATTTGTAATCCATACCAAACAACCTCAAATAGTAAATCTGAAAATTTCGTATTAATGCTGTATAGTTATCATTTTTCTATCTTTTCCAATCATCATTCCCAATCTTCTCTGCTCTTTAACCACCTCACTTTTAGAATAACATATGTCTTCTGATTGAAACTGGTCTTCAGTGACCTTACAATATGCCTTAAACTTCGCTGAATTCTTTCTGAGACTTTGGCTTTAACAAAACTTTTCTGCCCGTATACAGGGAGTCAAACGATAAAAAAGCAGTGTTAATTGTAGTCCCTTCCCAACCTGATCAATAAACTCTGGTTCAGTAAAAATTGGCATCTTAAGTTATTATTAGCACTTTTACAATCAAAGCTCCTGTGGTTTCATATTTGGATTTGGCCTATTTTGCAAAGGATATAATCCCATTTATTATACGCTGTGTGGAATTAGCACATTCTCCCCGTGTCTGCATAGGTTTCCCTCAGGTGCTCCCGTTTCCTCCCACAGTCCAAAGAAGTGAAGGCTAGGTGGATTGGCCATGGGAAATGCAGGTTTTCAGAGACAGAGTAGGTGGGTTGGGTCTGGGTGGGATGCTGTGTGAAGGATGAGTGTGGACTTGATGGGCCAAATTACCTGCTTCCATACTGTAGGAATTCTATGATTCTATGTTTGTGGCCTCTTTAAAGTTTCCAGTGTTTCAATTTATGAATGACCAGCAGCATAGCTCCTTGCCTTAAAAAGATAAAACAGTTGTTTATTACACAGTTATTGCTGAAAGTTATTTAAGTAAGAAGTGATAATTATTATCTAAAATACAGAAACAAAGATTTAAAGTAAGCACAGATAAAACTAATACAAGAAAATGAAATCAAACTCTAAAGATCTGGTTTGCTTGATGATTCTCTTTCTGAAGTGAACAGTTCAAAACTTTAATTCAGAATTCAGCACCCCTATTGATGTCATTGTTGAACATTTCGAGGCTTCCCCTTAGACAGTTTGACCAAAACAGGTTCTAGGAGCGAATCTTCTTTGTTTGAGGGGACTTCTAATTGAGATATAAAATATGCTAAAGTGGATTGACAAAGTAGACTTAGAAAGAAAGTTTCCTTATGTGGGGCAATCGAGAATGAAAGGTCATAGTTTTTGGCAAAAGGGTAGCAAATTTAAAACAGAGATGAGGAGAAATTGCCATTCTCATAGGACCATGAATCTGTGGAATTCACTATCCGAGAGTACAGTGGATGCTGGGGCGTTGAGTAAATTTAAAGAGGAGATAGGCATTTTTAAAAAATTATTAATGGGTTGAAGGGTTATGGGGAGCAGGCAGAAAAGTAGAGTTGAGGCTGAAATGAGATCAGCCATGATCAACCATGATCCTATTAAATGGCAGAGCAGGCTCAAGCCGCTGATTGCCTACTCCTGCTCCTAGATCTTATGTTCTTATGTTTCACTTTTACAGCATGGCAGGTTGTGGCTCTTGGTAGCTTGGTTCAGTACGGCATTCCTACATACATTCCTCTGTCTCTCTGGGAAGCAGTCACATCTTCAAAATGTTTCTCTCATGCTGTCTGCACAAAAGAGTTGGTTACAGCTAGACTTTTGTACAGTTCAAAATTTAAAAAGGGCTTTTATTTCAAAACTGTCAAAACACACTTCCTATTGGGCACTGGGTTAGCCTAGGCCTGGGCACAAACCCCAGCTTTTATTCAATGTAGTTAACTTTCTAACTGTCTCAGTCATTAGATTGGATTGTTCATTCTGTCAGGCTTTTGGTGACATGGGAAGTGTAATTCACACCTCCAGAAAACCCATGTCAAGCCATTCAGATGGACAAAGCTGTCCATTCTGCTGAAATGAAGTAAAGATGTGGAGCAGATATAGGTAATAGGGATGACTTCGAATTGATTTGTTAAGCCATGAAGGAAAACAGAGGAAACAAAATTTATTGTATGAGAAACAAAAGATTATAGGGAAGTAACTCAGGTTTTTAAAACAATAAACAGAATCAATAATGTTGATCTATTTAAAGCAAAACAAGAACAGAATTTGTGGGTACACTTATAAAAAGAGATAACATTGAAATATATTCCAGTCAGACATTGCAGCACATAGTTAACTTTAAAAGCTTAAGTTATTACAACATGATAAATGTAGAAAGCAATCAAAGTGTCTAAACCGATTCATTCCAGTGAGACAATTGACAAACCACATCACAAAGTAAATGTTTGGGTTGATTAGTAAATTGGAACATGAAAACACCACCAAAGTTTCCCTTCAAATAACACACCATCCTGATCTAGACATAAATCCTGATCTAGATATAAATTGTTCAAGATCCTGGAACCACTTACCCAATAGCACCTTCACCACATACTGTGCACAGGTCAAGCAGATGACTCATCCCAACCTTTTCAAGGACAATTAGAAATCTGCAATAAGTGCAGATGTGCCCACAATTCCTTGAATTAATAAAAAAAAGAGATAAGAATTGATAACAAACTATTTTGGGAGCCTTCCATCTCATAAGATCTTGCTTTTCATGTAGCGTTTGAGTGAACCCTGATTTAAATATTATCTGTCATGGCTCAGAAACTTCACTTGGCATAGCAGGAGGAAGACAGTGGATTCAGGGGCCTCTACTTTCCCTGAGCCCACTTCTTGGCCAGCTGAGCTTTACATTTTTGCTCACCTCTTCCAATGACCTTTTGAACAGTCAGCCTGCAAAAGTCATGGATGTTAGTGGCTGTCTCCCAGTTGCCAGAGTAACTATCCACAATTTTCATAGCTCAGTTGCCAGTGTCCTTGTAGTTTAGACACACAAAATCACATGTCACAGTGGCCAATTCACCATACAGGAATGCTCTGAATATGATATATAGCTGTCATCCATACAATGTATATGGCTAAGCCAGCACGAGTATCATTGGTTTGGCAATGAGTACCTGGAAGAGGGCAGCAGAGTGGTGACACTGATTGACTGACTTGGGGAAGATCTGCAGCAGTACAGTCACTGCTTCTAGAAAGTGGTTTGAGGAGGTGCTGTTGTCAAGTGACAGTGCAGGAATTCCCTGTGGTTGTCTCCCTCTCTAACATGTATACCATTTTGGATACTGTTTGGGGTTGGGTGGGGTGACCTATCTGGGGGTAACAGCAGCAGCAGCCAGACTAGTGGCACCATGGCTGGCTCTGTTCTTAAGAGGGGAAGGACAAAGAGCACTAGAGCAGTAGTTATAGGGGACTCTTTAGTTAGGGGTACAGATAGGCACTTCTGTGGATGTAAAAGAGACTCCAGGATGGTATGTTGCCTCCCTGGTGCCAGGGTCCAGGATGTGTCTGAATGAGCAGAAAGCATTCTGAAGGGAGAGCGTGAACAGTCAGAGGTTGTGGCACATATTGGTACTAATGACATAGGTAGCATGAGTTACGAGGGCTAGCAGCAGTAGTTCAAGGAGTTAGATGGAAAGTTAAGGAGCAGAACCCTCCAAGGTTGTAATCTCAGGATTGCTCCCTGTGCCACATGCCAGTGAGGCTAGAAATAGGAGGATAGTACAGCTCAACACATGGCTAAACAGATGGTGTAGGAGGGAGGGTTTCAGATATCTGGACCATTGGAATCTCTTCCGGGGCAGATGGGATCTGTACAAGAAGGACAGATTGCATCTAACCTGGAGGGAATCAAATGTTCTAGCTGAGAGATTTGCTGGTATCACTCGGGAGGATTTAAACTAGCGTGGCAGGGAGTTGGGAACCAAAGCAAAGGTGAATTTACTGAAAGGGAACTGGAGAGAAGGGCCAGTAAGACTCAGAGGAAGAGCAGGCAGGGAGTGGTTACTGATCAAAGCGGGTCTGGTGGACTGAAGTGCATCTGTTTCAATGCGAGAAGTGTAACAGGTAAGGCAGATGAACTTACAGCTTGGACTGGTACTTGGAACTATGATGTTATTGCTATTACAAAGACTTCTTTAAGGGAAGGACAGGATTGGCAGCTTAACGTTCTAGGATACAGATGGTTCAGGCGGGATAGAGGGGGATGTAAAAGGGGTGGGGGAGTTGCACTACTTGTTAAGCAGAATATCATAGCTGTACTGCGGAAGGACTCCTCAGATGGCTCATACACAGCGAGGCAATATGGGTAGAGCTCAGGAACAGGAAGGGTGTAATCACAATGTTTAATACATTGGAGCGGATGAGCACTGGCTGAAACGTTCTACTCCACCACCATCTTGGAATACTACTGTCCACCACGCAGAATTTGGGTGGAAGTTTGTATTCCAACTGAAAATACTGAGCTCAGGAAGATTTAAAAAGTCTGGAAGACTCTCCAAACTTGGACTAAAACATAACATTTGACTGCATAACCCCCGAAGCTGTTCTGGGATTAGAAGTTACTTGCCTGGAATTGTAAAACATGCAATTGGGAGCTAAGATAACGATGTGCGGAGCTGGATTAACACAGTAGGCCAAGCAGCATCAGAGGAGCAGGAAGGCTGACGTTTCAGGCCTAGACCCTTCTTCAGAAATGGGGGAGGGGAAAGGGGTTCTGAAATAAATAGGGAGAGAGGGGGAGATGAAACAGACAGGTCAAAGAGGCGGGGATGGAGCCAGTAAAGGTGAGGGTAGGTGGGGAGTTAGGGAGGGGATAGGTCAGTCCAGGGAGGACGGAATGGTCAAGGGGGCGGGATGAGGTTAGTAGGTAGGAGACGGGGGGTGGGGCTTGAGGTGGGAGGAAGGACAGGTGAGGGAGGGGAGATTTTGAAGCTTGTGAAGTCCACATTGATACCATTGGGCTGCAGAGTTCCCAAGCGAAATATGAGGTGCTGTTCCTGCAGCCTTCGGGAATTAAACGATAACGAAAAATTGAAATATAAGTGCGTACAGTTCTCCCACAGCAGTAACCTCCGAGCTCACGAAATGGGTTGTATTGTGGAGCGGCTGTGTTCTCGCCGTGATAGTCAGCACGTAACCGCTTACATGAGGAAACAAGGAGGAGCTGAATGTTTCGAACGGACTCCAGTTCCCGTCTGCGTTGTAACAGAGGGCGGAGGCTGCAGAGTGTGGAAGTAGTCTTTATTTCCGCCTCTTCCACCCCAACCCGATCGATTGTATTCAATTCTCTAGTTTTATTTTGTGTATATTTAAAACGTGCTTCTTGAATGTTACTTTTAAGTACACCCGGACGATGGTCGTCTTGTTCGGGGCCACATTATTCGCTTGTTATGACCCACACTTGAAGTTTCTCCGTACGAAGACTGGTTCCTTTTGTTTCCTCGGGTGGACTGAAAACGGAAAAGCAGAGATGCCGAACTGATGGCTTTGAGCGAAGCGGAGAAACAGAACGCACATTCCGCTTTGCTTCGGGGAAGAGGTAATTTGCTGCGGCTTTCTGTAATTGAAGGTATTTCCTCTGATCTTTAGAGTCCTGTGCAAAGACTTAACTCAGAAAAGATAGCCACCAAGGCCCGTAGAAGCTGAGCGCTTTTTTCCGGGTCTACATGTATCACAACTCAAGCCATTGACGATCTATTTACTGTTTGTAAACCAATGTGTATTTTATATTATAACGCGTTCTGTTTTATTTTCACTTTAAACTTCGCACTGCGAAAAGAAAATTAATTTACAGAACAGTGCCAGATATCTGGGACGTTTTGTTCTAATTGTTTACATGACATTCTAAGCAAGAATGTTAAAACATATCATGCTTTGGGTGTAAAGTTGATTAAAAATCTTTCGATTATGTTGGGTGCAGGGAGGGGATTCAGCAGAGTTGGAGCCTCCACCGTAATTTATCAAAATCTTCGGTTCGATTGGGGCTCATGTTACCGATTGAACGTTTAACTGTGGTCCTATTTACTGGTTTCTAGATATGAAGTGAATTTTATGTGGTCATTGTTTCTGTTTCCCCTTTAAAGTGGGGGGGGGGGGCACAATTTGCAGTTTTAACGTTCTTTAGTTGGCTCTCGAATGTCATTATTTTTATTAACTGAAACTAAAATACTGGAAATCCGAAATAACTGAAAGTGCTGCAGAAACTTAGCCAAGTCTAGCAGCATCTGTAGAGAGAGAAACTGAGTTAATGTTTCGAGTCCGGTGTGACTCCAGTTCTGAAGAACTCCTGTGGACGTCACAGGTTAATTTCGTTTCTCTATTCACAAATGCTGCCAGATTTGCAAAGTTGGTCGAGTACTTTGATTTTTATTACCAACTTATAACAAAAGGCTGTTCAAAAAGCAATGTAGCAATCACCACACAGTGCCTTGGGCACATTCAATCGTGATGTGTTTTTCCTATCCCATCTTATTCGGGCCAAACAGACTCTTCAGAGCAGCATCACTCGCTCTCAGGTACACAACCCAAACTTTTTCAAACGGATCTCGTTTTGGCCAAGTTAAATATGGAGAGTTTTTTTTTAACAAGGGCCACAGTGTTATAGCGAAATAAAGAGGGCAGGTGGCAAAACAGAGCGAAAGGCCTCGGAGAGGTGAAAGGCCAACAGAGCTTAAATGTCTAAAGACAAAAGGTAAAAGGGATTGGAATGAACAAAAACAAAGTTGCTGGAAAAGCTCAGCAGGTCTGGCAGCATCTGTGAAGGAAAAAACAGAGTTAATGTTTCGGGTCCAGGAAAAAACAGAGTTAATGTTTCGGGTCCGGTGACACTCAAAACGGCTGCCAGACCTGCTGAGCTTTTCCAGCAACTTTATTTTTATTCCTAATTTACGGCATCCGCAGTTCTTTCAGTTTTTATTTAGGGATTGGTAATGGTTGGAATAAACGTGAAAACATAAGAAATAGCTGCAGTGGACTGACTATGTGGCCTCTCAAGCCTGCTGCACCTTTTGGTAAGATCATGCCTGATCTGATTTTGCCTTTAACTACATTTTCCTGAGTGAGTGTGAATTGTAGAATAACTGACAGTATTGTCTGAAAGCACAGTTGCCTTGACTACACCATCTCAATCCATGCCTCCTACAAAAACTCCATTCCTTAATCCCAGTTTCTTCATCTCCATTGCATCTGTTCTGATGGTACACCCTTCCATAGCTTTCTGAGATGTCTACCATTTTATTCAAACAAGGATTTCTCCACTTTTGGCTGACAGGAGCCATGACTAATGGTTTGTCTGATACATTCCTGGATCCTACTTCACCCTCTTTCCCCCTCTATGAACTATGATTGGTTTCAGATCATCATTCTCTTCCACTCCATCATCCTCCGCCACTTCTGTCATCTCCAATATGATGCTGTTCCCACCCCTCCCTGCCAGCTTTCAAAAGGGACTATTCCCTTCTCGATACACTGATCCACCCCCAATCACCCCAGCAGCTCAGTCCCACACATGCCAACTTCCCAGGTGGTTTGCAGGAAGTGGAACACCTACTCCTTTACTTCCTCTCACCTGACTGTCCAAGATCTCAAACACAACTTCCAGATGAATCCATGATTTATCTGTACTTGTATCAATTTATTATATTTCCTGCTCAAAAGTGGTCTTGTTTACATTGAAGAGTCCACATACAGATTTTGAGACTGCTTTATGGAACGTGTCTGCACAGGGCATTTGTATTCACTACCTCGCTCTCACACTCCTGTCTCAGTCCTTGGCTTGCTGCAGTGTTCCAGTGAAGCTTAATGCAAGCTCAGGGAACAGCACCTCATCTTCCACTTAGGTACTTTGCAGCGTTCTGGATTCAACATTGATATCAACAATTGCATGAACTCTGTCCTCCATTTTGATTCTTCGTTCTGCCATGGTTAGTCTGAATTTTGTTTGTTTTTGCTTTCAGACAGAGTTGTTCATTATTCTGCCATTCACACTTGCTGTGGGTAAACACTTTATTTTTATTTAAGTATGCTGTTAACTTTTCTCTTGTTCACAGCATCATTGCTTCTGACCTTTATCCAGACCTTTGCTTTTATTCTTCTTCCTATTTGCACCCTCCCTCAATGATGTAAAACTGATTGCATTTGTATGTTCTTTTAATTCCGAAGATGTCATATTTGACTCAGAATATTAATTCTATTTCCCCTCCCCCTCAGGTGCTGCCAGACCTGCTGAACGTGTTTAGCTTTTACCCTTCATATTAATTTCCTTTTACTGTTATCTATTGCAACCAAAAGACAAGGTCGCTGTTACTGTCTAAATAATGGTACAACCAGGCCTATGCAAAAACCTGCAGATAATAAATACTGTCCGTTGAAGCAGGCGTTGGGATGTTGGGAAATCCCCAGTGAAGAGGAAAACCAAGTACTGTATTCACAATGTCAAGGGGAACTCTGAATTGTTTTCAGTTAAATGTAACTTTTAAAAATAAACTTATGAAAGTACAAAGACATTAAATAGTGGAAAATAATCAGTGCATTGGATGAGGTTAGGAAAGCCAGTCACACTAGTTTGAAATTTCTAGACTCTGACCTTATAATTACTTGACTCACAGTGGGGTTCTCACTTGCCTTCAGCTATGTTATGAATACACCCTAAAAATAGGGGTTTAACCAAAAAGGGAAAAGTAATGTGCAGAACTATTCAGACTGAGACGAAATCAGCAAGGAGTTATAGTGAGCTGGAGTTCTCTCCTTTGAACTGCTGTTAGGAGCCAGACCAAACGCTCGAAATCTTTTAAGGAGATAGTCTAGATCCTAACTTCTTCTCATTTTAAAGGTAAGTGTGAGGCATTGTGTTCTGGATGCAATTACAAGGCTTGAAACAAAGCATGCTTTATTCATACACTACAATTAAAATACAGACAAATAAAAGAATTGGCTTAACTGTAACTCTATTGAAATGCTTAATGAAAGAATATATATTAACAACTACTACTAATTAACTGTTCCAATATAGTAACATCCCATAAACACACCCTTAGCAAAGACAAACTCAGTAAAATAGATTGTCTCCATGCAATTCCAGCAGCAGGAAGAGCACCCCAACTTTTCACTGTAACAGAGGGAGGAATTAGAGCTTCCACATCCAGCTTCAAGATCCCAGAAACTGCTGCTGAAAAGACTAAAACTTTAAAAAAAATCTTGGTTCTCTTGGAGCTTGACCCCACCCATTCAGACTTCTTTTATTGTTCTAACTTTGGGGGGAAAAAACCCAAGACCTCAAAAGCTGTTTACTGGCTTTGGAGGAGACTGCTCGGTTCCTTTAGTTCAACCTTTCTCATAAAAAAGAACAAAACGCGTTTCTTGAAGCAATAGTTTCATCACGCTGCCTTTTTCTAAAGCACCAGAATTGGGTCTACTGCATTAAGACTATGGGGGGGCGAGGGTGAAGATGTTGAACGAGCCACCTCCTCAATTACTAGTGTGGAGCTGGAGGAACACAGCAGGCCAGGCAACATCAGAGGAGCAGGAAAGCTGACGTTTCTGGTTGGGACCTTTCTTCAGCCCATTTCTGAAGAAGGGTCCTGACCCAAAACGTCAATTTGCCCATTTCTGAAGAAGTGTTCCACCAGCTCCACACTGTTAACTCAGATTCCAGCATTGGCAGTTCTTACTATCTCCTCAACCATTAGTATTGTGATTCATGTAAATCATAATGTAACTGATGACATGACACAAACATGAGCAAGAGGGAAGATACCAGTATGAAATGAGCACAAGAAGGGAAAGTTGGTAATAGTTCCCAAGATAAGTGGAAAATTAAGAATTTGTGTGGATCTTTATTCAGGTGAACAAAAGTTGGGAGGGAAATCCATCCTATTTCATCTGTTGATGATACTTTAGCAAAAGTGGAAACAAGGAACTTTTTCACAAAACTGGATGGCAGCAGTGAGTTCTGGAGATCCCTTTGACCAACAATTGAGTTTGCTGATTGCATTCTGTATATCATTTGGAGAATGTTTTTCTGGTTGTATGCCTTTTGGAATCTCTGCATCAAAGATTTTCAAAAGAGCAAAAAACTGAAGGAAACAGGTGACCATTTGCCATCTGAGTGTGCTATTACATGGTAAAATGAAAAAGAAACAGCTAGCAGCTTTGGGAAAAAAAAGAGTAGTTACTATCTTCTGACATTTTAGCACATCACGATTTGGCCTCTCACTGTTGTAGTACTGAAAAGATACCAATCTAGAATTAGCATGGCTCAGTACTACACTGGAGAGCTGTGTTTGATAACCTACTATGTGCAGGTATAAATAAAGTTGTGTTAATAGCACAAAAGGAATTGAATAGTACTTCTTAGAGATAAGGAGCAAGCAACCTTAGGGACAGTGTATCTGTAGACGCACACTCCAGAGATACTCTGGACTGGTGTATCAGCGTTCAGTAACAGTACTAGCATATCCCTTCAAGAGAGAAGGCTGAAACACCTGTAACAGTCTTCAACCAGAAGTGCCAAGTGGATGATCCATCTTGGCCTCCTCCAGT